ATGATGATGATGATGATGATGATGATGATGATGATGATGATGATGATGGCAGTGTAGTCACCCTGATGATGGTGACAATGTAGTCACTCTGATGATGATGACAGTGTAGTCACCCTGATGATGATGACAGTGTAGTCACCCTGATGATGATGATGATGATGATGATGATGATGATGATGATGATGATGATGATGATGATGATGATGACAGTGTAGTCATCCTGATGATGATGACAGTGTAGTCACCCTGATGATGATGATGATGATGATGATGATGATGATGATGATGATGATGATGATGATGATGATGATGATGATGATGATGATGATGATGATGATGATGATGATGATGATGATGATGATGACAGTGTAGTCACCCTGATGATGATGACAGTGTAGTCACCCTGATGATGATGACAGTGTAGTCACCCTGATGATGATGACAGTGTAGTCACCCTGATGATGATGACAGTGTAGTCACCCTGATGATGATGACAGTGTAGTCACCCTGATGATGATGACAGTGTGATGATGATGATGTAGTCACCCTGATGATGATGACAGTGTAGTCACCCTGATGATGATGATGATGATGATGATGATGATGATGATGATGATGATGATGATGATGATGATGATGATGACAGTGTAGTCACCCTGATGATGATGATGATGATGATGATGATGATGATGATGATGATGATGATGATGATGATGATGATGATGATGATGATGATGACAGTGTAGTCACCCTGATGATGATGACAGTGTAGTCACTCTGATGATGATGACAGTGTAGTCACCCTGATGATGATGACAGTGTAGTCACCCTGATGATGATGATGACAGTGTAGTCACCCTGATGATGGTGACAGTGTAGTCACTCTGATGATGATGACAGTGTAGTCACTCTGATGATGATGATGATGATGATGATGATGATGATGATGATGATGATGATGATGATGATGATGATGATGATGATGATGATGATGATGATGATGATGATGATGATGATGATGATGATGACAGATGATGATGACAGTGTAGTCACCCTGGTGACAGTGTAGTCACCCTGATGATGGTGACAGTGTAGTCACCCTGATGATGATGACAGTGTAGTCACCCTGATGATGGTGACAGTGTAGTCACCCTGATGATGGTGACAGTGTAGTCACCCTGATGATGATGACAGTGTAGTCACCCTGATGATGATGACAGTGTAGTCACTCTGATGATGATGACAGTGTAGTCACTCTGATGATGATGATGATGATGATGACAGTGTAGTCACTCTGATGATGATGACAGTGTAGTCACCCTGATGATGGTGACAGTGTAGTCACCCTGATGATGGTGACAGTGTAGTCACCCTGATGATGGTGACAGTGTAGTCACCCTGATGATGGTGACAGTGTAGTCTACCTGATGATGGTGACAGTGTAGTCACCCTGATGATGATGATGATGATGATGATGATGATGATGATGATGATGATGATGATGATGACAGTGTAGTCACTCTGATGATGATGACAGTGTAGTCACCCTGATGATGATGATGACACGGATGATGATGACAGTACTGACTGATGATGATGACAGTGTGTACCCTGATGATGGTGACAGTGTACCAACCCGATGATAAGTAGATTGCCGTTTCTTCACGTGTGTGTGGACAATCAGTTTTTACAGGTAGACATTTTGTCATCAATTTGGTATCGTTGCCACGTTATTGTAAATTTTGTCGCAGGCAAACAACTGGCCTACGCCATTACAACATAACAAAGATATCAGAAATCAAGAGATCATCCGCCTTGTTTTTTGAAGTTGATGTCTTTTAACTACCTCTTATCTTTCTTTTAAATCTAATTCAAGTTAAATACCGAAGTATCCCAGTACCAAGAAGGACTATTATATAGATCTTGGATTACAACGACTTGCTCTCTTGGCTGCGTGCCAGTGGTGTCTGTGGTGCCGGTAATAGGATATCTTGTTTTGGCAATGTGGGTCAGTTCAGAAAGCGTGCAAACTCTACTTATATACCAATACTATCGACTATACTTTGTCATTTAAAATCAATTTCCTCGCCTCGAAGTAAAAATGTCGCCAAACAGCCATCGTTTCTTATTGGATGGTTTTGCCATGAGATCGTACATGTAATAACTTTTACCGACGTTGTCATATCGCACGACGAATCAATTAAATCCATCCAAATCCTTAGAAATTGAAAGACAAATAACAACAGATGTTTAATCATTGATACAGTGGTCAACTTTTGTACATAGGATTATTTATTCATGAGATTTAATTGTGTGCTAAACTTTTATATGAAAGATAATTGAGTTTATGCTGAATTTAAAGGCAATGAAGTAATGGATTGCGGAATGCCAATAAGAGGATGGATTACAGTGTCGGTAACTCCTAGTCATATCATGTCATGGCCATCAAAATTAAGGACAACAGGATGTTTAAGGGACATCAAGGGAAGAGAATACTTTATGTTCAATTTTATTGTATAGTTATTACAACTGTTGGTATTGAGATGATGTTCAAATATATGTTTAAATGTTAGTTTGACTTTATTTGATCCAAAAAAAAGTGTATTTTGAAAGTTTAAACACTGGTCAAAATAAAGAAATATCAGGTGATTCTAGTTCCCCCCCCCTCCCCACGATTTTAGCACTTGGGTCAGAAGTCATAATACTGCCGATATCAGGTTGACTTGACGAATCGGGTGTGTTGACGACACTAGACTGTAGACATGTAATGGATGTTAAAGCTAAATCGAATGACTTGCTTTGCATGCAAACATTTTCTATGGAATGGATTTGGTATTATGACCGGCATAAACACAGATTAAAATTTGAAGATGATTCAAGGCAAGGCGTAGAGGATAATGTTCAATACATTAAGGTAAGAACAAAGATTAATCCATACAGAACAAACTGCAAAATCAACGATTTGATCTGGGAAGTGAGAGAGAACTCTGTAATCTGAAACCGAAATGGACTGATTGTGGGAGCTGGCTAGTCATTACCGGTGTAGCATGGTATTGTGGAGCATGGGGATATGAACCGGGGTCAAAATACCATAATGGTGAAATAAACCGCGGTTCACTTCACCGTTATGGTGAAATGAACTCCCCATGGTAAAGTGAAACCACATTATCTTTTGTTTTCAATTGCTGTTTTCACTTAATTTTTTACCAGTTTACTTAATTATGTTCCTCAATACTTAATAAAACTGAAAAATAACAATAGTTGGGTGGGGCTAGGCCATGCTAAAGTGAAGCATTTCACTATTTTTTTACTTATTGACTTTTTTCACAAATTGTTTTGCAATTCATCTTGATTCAATTATATAAACACATAAATAACAAAAAATAGGTCTGGGTGGGGAAATTTAGGGTGGGGCAGGGGGTTTCATTTCACCATGGCCATGTGTTTATATGATTGCATCAGGGTGAATAGCCAAAATATTTGTGAAAAATCTTAGTGAGAAAATAGTGTAATACTTAACTATGGCCATGGTGAAGTGAAACCCCCCCTCCCCCTAAATTTTCCCACCCATATATGTGTTTATATGATTGAATCAACATGAATTGCAAAACAATTGGTGAAAAAAATATTAGTAATTAGGTTTTTTTTTGTTTTATTGCGTATTGGGGAACATAATTAAGTAAACTAATAAAAAATTAAGTGAAGATTCAGCATTTGAAAACAAAATATAAAGTGGCTTCACATTACCACAATAATGATGAAATGAACCGCAGTTCACTTTACCATGGGCTTCACTTTACCATACTACACCGGGTATGTTCCCCATTCGCTCTCTCCACAGTCCTGATTCTCCTCAGCACGGAGTTCATGAGAAGGTTTATTCTCCTCATTGGGATGTTGGCCCATTCTTCCAAGAGGGTCGCTCTCAGTTGGGCCAGAGTAACAGGGTAGGCTGGGGTCGTCGAAACTGTCTGGTCCCACAAGTGCTCAATAGGGGATAACTCGGGGCTGTATGGCGGTCAGGCCAGTGGATGGATATTGTCGCGACAGATCCTCGACATGGGACCGAGCATTATCCTGTTGGTGGGACAACATGGGGTCGGAGGATCTCATCTCTATACCTAGCGCCAGTTAAATTATCCACTACCACAACCAGAGGTGATTTAATTCCGTGTGAGATTCCTCCCCACACCATAACCGATCCATCCCAAACCTATCCGTCTCTACTACGCAACAGTCGGCAAAACGTTCTCCACGACGTCAGTATACACGACGTCGAACGTCTGCTCGAAACGGGTGAATCGGGACTCATCAGTGAACAAGACCCGTCTCCACTGTTTCAATGAAAATATTCTGGGGGCATGTGCCGCCAGCCAGGCCATACGACGTTGGCGACGAGCAGCGGTAAGGCGCAGACATAGAAACGGGTGATGTTCCCGCAGACCAGCTTTCCGCAATCGCTTCCTTACAGTTTTTGCATGGATATGACGGTTATGAGTACCTGTGGTATGAAGGGTAGATTCAGTGGCAGTAACGTGCCGATTGTGCAAATGCGCGAACCCTGTCCTGACGTTTTGAAGTCACACGCGGACGTCCAGACCTATGTCAACGCGTTCACAAGATATTGAAAATAATGCCACCCTGCGTTTCCTTATCCCTTTAGTATATAATCACAAAGTGAATATGGAGAAGAAAATCTTGTATTTCGCTGTAATTTTAAAATCGTTAACCGGTTCATCCAAAGTTGATCACGGAATTCTGTTTTCTGGTGATTCTTGATAAATACTAACAAAGATATGTGTTATCAGAATGTCCGGCATAAATTATGTTAAAATGGTTAAAAATTGGTCCCACGTCTCTGCTTGTGTCGAACGCACTCGGCTGTGTATTCCTTATCGAACAAACCGTTCTGTGTCAATGGGGTGTTTGCAAGTGCCGCCTATTTTAAGTACTGCTGCAACGCTGAGTCTGTCACACAACGAATTTTTGTTGACATTTTTTGCTGAGCGTCATGAAGTCATCACCGCTTCATGATGAGTTGGTATGTATTAAAAAAATCCCGAAGACAACTTTCGTAAACATTTTACTCAATTGCTTCAAAAATTTCCGAAATTATATGTATTACATGCGTGTAATCAGATTTAAATTCATCCCTCCCTCGCCGGACTTTCGCTTTAAGTTTCGTTTCGTTTGACTTGATCATGCTTGGTATTATTTACTTGGTTAGTATCATACGATATCATATATAATTCAATGATAACAGTTGTTTCCAAATGTATCCTGAAAATATGATGAGGTATTTTGTCTTTGTGCCTTACATGAAATACTGACTTCCTGTGTCTGGCGTACTCACCCCCTCCCCCCTTTCCCACACACACTCAGAAAATATGCCAAACACATTCATTCCCTAAATAACCGTTCAATGACATGTGACCATATACATGTTTATTCGGTATGTGTGTTTGGCTTTTTTTCTCGTGTGCCCTTAAAAATAGCTCATCTTTAAATGACAATTGAGTTATTTTGTTGATTGCTTCAGTAATAGATATATTCTTTTGTATCAAAATTAGTTGCAACATGCTCGGTTATTTGTAAACATCCCTAGTAAGTTTTAAGTTCAAGTTTTGTGCACATGTATTTTTACCTCTAAAACAGTTTATTTTTTCTTCTATTTTATATAGCCATTAGCTATAATAGCGATGTATACCTGTAGCTTTAAGAACAATAGATAAACACCAACTTAACCTGAGCTTAGTGAAGCAGATACACGCAGGAACTATATGACAGTAATTCATAAGAGCAAAAAACAAACTAAAAACTTGATACCCATGATTTTACGATTAATTACCATCAATACAATATTTGAAAGATCATCGATCTAAAAGTAATATGTGATGAGTTCATATAATCAAAATGAATTTTTGAAAGATCAATATGTTGATGAAATGTTAACTGAGCAATTATTTAATTATAGATTAGATACTCCAAGAAAAAAAAATTGTTGACAGATGGAAATGTTCTTTTCTTGTTTTTACATTTTTTCTTACATTTTTTTTGCAGGAATCCTTTTAGTCGTCATTCTGTACCTAAAAAGAATGTAGTATCAAGGATTGTAAGTATAAAATATATCACATATATATACAAATGTATTATACAAAGATATTATGATTTTACTAAGTCATGAAAGGATAAAGTAAAACATTTTCTTGAATGCATATTACCAATTAAAATATACCAAGAATCTGTATGTAACTGTAATCATACCAATATTAATTCTGTACTCTGATTTAATGAATGTGTTTGCAGATTTTTGTCTGATATCATTTGTGCATGCCCAAGGCCAACAGGAGTAGTTGCAATTGTGAAGGAATCATTTCCCTTCTTTGAAACTTGTGTGTCTGAGTTATGAAGATGTCAGTCAGTTCAACATACTGCAAGATTTTGGGAGCAAGTGACTTAGTGTTCCAGTGTAATATGTGTATGAAAGAATAAATATTAAATCATTCTATCTGTAAAAATATTTTCATGTACCTGAATCTATTCATTAGATTTAGATGGGCACTGACAAGCCAATTCTGGGTTGTGAATGGAAGTTTAAAAACATTTTTTACATAGTCTAGTGAATTTTGATAACTTCTGTAGAGTTCTGAAATCTTGATCCAAAGTTATCCTTTTGATTATTTTAGAAATTTTTTATCCCATTTTGTAGGCTGAGAGAGAATTGGAGAAGGAGGTCAAGAAAGCAGAAAGGTAACTTTGTGATAGCTAATGTAATGTCTGTGTATTAGAAGAATGACACTGACAAATATACTGTTTCAAACACCTCTAGCTGTATTGATGAACTACTGAACCAACAAATTTTAATATCAAATTTTGAGTTAAGATAGCAAATAGTGTCATTGATTCATAAAATCTAGACACAAAGTAAAGCCTCTTTTTGAAGACATCAATAAATATCCATTTTCTGCTCATTGGTCGTTACAGAAAGATTAATGGTGGTCTGAGTTTTTGGTCTTAAATAATTTTCTTTTATTTTGGACAGAGTTTAAATGACATGTATACATGTACTGAGTCTGTATAAACATACAATTTGACATAAATAAAGAAAGATGTCAAATTGTTTTAATGGATGTACAATTTCTAGATACTGTTTACTAGGTAATGGATTTTTTCAGCCTATTTTTCAGTCTATGAACTAAATCTTTTGAAAACAGTAAGTTTAAAATCAAAATAACTCATGTATATATATTTTTTCAGACTAGAAGAAACAAGTAGGAAACTCTATAAAGACACGAAAAGATGGGTGGAGTCAAACCAAGGTTAGACATCAGCTGGAGAACTGTCATATATAATGATCATTTCTATGTAAATGAAGTGTGTATGAGGACAATGGGATTGGGAAAACATCAAGATTTTTTGTACTACAAAACAAATTGATATCTTAGAGAATAACACAGAACATCAGCATTGCTGCATTTGATGGTTTGATAGGTAACAACTCTATACTTTTGACAGTCTTTATTATGTGATGTAGGTGTGATATCCAGTGAACATAAGATAACACAGAACCTACTGGCCAGTCAGTTATGTCAGGCAGAGCCACAATTCTCTACCCAGATTGCTGACTGGGATCGCTCACTGGACAAACAGGAACTCTACATGAAAGAACTGGTATGTTTGTCTGATAATACACAAATTTATGTCCACTCTTCTGTAAGGTATATGTGGATATCCAATTATTTATGTTCTGGCTTTTATGTAGTACATCTTCTTACATATGATATAGGTTCTATGAAGTGGATGTTGTGTGAACTTTTTATTACTTGCTGCTGTTCATACTCAGAAAAATATTGTTTATGAAGGACATAAATCAAACCAATAGACTGGATGCATGCATTTTGGACCATAAATATATATAACTCAGCTAGAGAGTGATACAGGCCCATTGGGCCATTAAATATATATACCTGAGCTGGTGTGTAATGCAGGTCCTTTGGGCATTTAGATATATATACCAGCTAATGTATGATACAGACCCATCTGGCCATACAACATATGTACACAAGATAGTGTGTAATACAGGCCCATCTGGCCACTAGTTATATATACCAGTTGATGTGTGATATAGGCCCATTTGTGCATATATTATATGTACACAAGCAGGTAGTCCAAAGGTAAGTGATACTTGCTTATTATACCATTAAATATATACCTATCAGCAGGTGTGTGATACAGGCTCTTTATCCTGGCCCTTATTTATACTTTTACATCCACAGTCTTAGGAATGCTAAAAGTCCACTAATCCATAGGATGTGCATACACCAGCCGGGCAGTGATGCTTTCTGCTGGACTGTTTTGGTTATTTTACACTGTTGTAGAATATAAGTAAGATTCAGGGGAATCCCAAGTAACATTAAATCCTGCTTAAAAATCTCCAACTCCAGCTAAGAATTCTATTTCGAATATTGGCAATAATTGCATTGCTCAATTCATCCCAATTATCTTAGTTATGATAACTTCTTACTACAGAGCTCATCATTATCAGAACTTGTAAAGTGTTGAGGAACTTAAAAATAATTTTGGATTTGAGTTATCTTTATATAGTTTTTATCCAGTCTTTTAAACGCAAGATAATTAAGATGAAAGTTCATTTGCTTTTGAAACAATGTATTTTGACATTTTCTATTACAGAATACCACTGTCCAAAAAGTTGTTCTGGAGCCAATGAAAAAGTGAGTATTTTGTTTTAGTAAACTCCCTTGTATTGAGGTTATCTACAAGGCAGCCATTCAAGATTGAGAAGAAATTCAAGATTTCTGATGGGATGAAAAAAATTCTTAGCACCAATTAGTTTGTAAAGGACATAATTTTCAATTGCATTGTATGTGTACTTAAAATTTCTTCAGCTGTCGATGATGCTTTGACAATTTGTTGGTATGGTCTATAAATCTATCCCTTTTTTTATGTTGGTTAACACCAATGAAGTTGATAATACATAGGATATATTTGAAGAATCATCAACTAAGATATTTAAGATGTGAAAATTCTCATATCATCAGGTTACTTTTAATTATTTTCATAGTTAATTAGGATTTCTCTTAATTCTTTTTTATAGATTTAATAGTATATTTCCTAGTATACAAAGTGCAGTGAAGAAAAGGGAACAGAGTCTTCAGGTTTGTATTTAATGGTACTATAGAACTAACCAATATCTTAGATCAGAAACATGATTATTATGTAAGAGTCTTTTAGCTAACCTTGCCCAAAGGGATGAGTGAGCTTATGCCGTGACATAGCATTTGTAACCTGTTCATCATCTTTTCCATTTAAATGACTTCTTCTCAATAACCAGCAACCCAAATATCATGATATTTGGTTGATAGGTTACTGAGATAAAGCCTGACAAAGTTTGCAAAAAGAAATGACCCTGACCCATGTTTAATAATAACAGGGATCAAATGGTTTAAACCTTTAAATGACATCTTGTTGCTAACTAAAAGACGTAGGAGCATGATATTTGGGAGATAGGTTCCCAGGATGAAGCCTGACAAAATTTGTGTAAAGAAATGACCTTGACTCATATTCAAGATCACAAGGTCAAATTTGTTAAAACATTTGAACAATTTCTTCTCATAAACTAAAAGGCCTAGATGCATGATATTTGGGTTGGTATATATAGCTGGTGAGTTATGCAGGCCCTTTGGGCCTCTTGTTTTTCATTTCTTTCAATTGAAATTTTAGACAAATTGAAATAATAAATCAATTAAAACAACAATCATTAATTGGACTGACCAAAGAATTGTGTATCGAATAAATCCTTCGACAGACTCAAAAATATTTCCACCAAAATAATCTTACATGGTAATAATTAATGTAATCAACATCATTCTTTCCAATCAAAATATCAATGCAAGATTTTAGCTCATGATGTATACCACGTATGTTTTTAAAATCTTGAAAGGTTATGAGGGTATTATGTACCACAATAAACTTCGGTAGAGATTATGCTGTGCATTTCAATTTGTTTCAGGAGTATAATAGATGTCAAGCCAAGGTTGAAAAACATCAAAGTCGTGAAAGAACTGGACAAAATGTTGTCAAACTGGACGCAGTTAGTAACTTTTTAGAATTTTATTATTTTCCATTGAATTTGCCTGTGTGATTTCCTCGCTACTTTAACAATTTTGTCACTAGGTATATCCATTTCAATATGATTTTTCACATTCATAATTTTTAAAACCTTATTTGTATGTGTAATTAACAATACCAACCAACCTGTTTTTCAGTATAACCATTGAACATTTTCATATACCATTGCATTACATTTATTAATATCTACATATTAGGAGCAAGCTTTTTCTACTCTTGACAGTGATAGCTTTGCAAAGGGAGACAAACTAAGGATAGGTATCAGAGTCTTAAATTCACGATTTTTCAATTTCAGGTCCTTAGCAAGGTAGAGAGGATTGTTTCATTTTTAAAACTCATTGCTTTGCATTTGGAATGGTTTCATAGGTTCATTAAAAACTGAAGCTGTGATCTCCAAGTAATAGACATGAAAATCTGTGAATTGTGACAGGAATATTCCTGGAGATGGGCATGAGACTCTTGACACTAAAATTACCTTTCCAAAGTTCCGTTTTTGTTTTGATTGATGGATTGACACCACTTATCTGTGCAACACACTAAGTGATATTGTAAATGACCCATCACTGTTTCAGGATTTTCACTGAATACTGAAATTGTAGTATAGTATAATCAAAACACCACTACTTGTAGCTACTTTGGAGAGTGTGTTTATACATTTTAGATCCCAATATTTTGTAGTGTTAAACATGTAACATTTTTTATTAGGAAGAACTTATCACAGCTTCAGTTAAATGTTTTTGTTATTACCAAAATTGAGAGATTGAGCGGGCTGCAAATTGCATGTAAAATACTGTCTGTTTTGTATGTGCTTGGCATCTTCATCGATTTCTAAGTTACTCTTTATAATTCAAGATAGTTCCTGTCTTTCTAGATTGAATGTTTCTGATCAGAACTCTATAAAGTACTGATATTGACCAAGACAGTTTCTGTGAATATAGATTTAACATTTTCTGTCTTTACTCTGTAGAGTACTCACATTATTTCAGTAAGTCCCTATCTATTTGAATTTAACATTTTCTGTCTTTACTCTGTAGAGTACTCACATTATTTCAGTAAGTCCCTATCTATTTGAATTTAACATTTTCTGTCTTTACTCTGTAGAGTACTCACATTATTTCAGTAAGAATAAGTCCCTATCTATTTGAATTTAACATTTTCTGTCTTTAATCATTTCCTGTCTTTACTCTGTAGAGTACTCACATTATTTCAGTAAGTCCCTATCTATTTGAATTTAACATTTCTTGTTTTTCTGTAACATTTCCTGTCTTTACTCTGTAAGTAATTTAACATTTTCTGTCTTTACTCTGTAGAGTACTCACATTATTTCAGTAAGTCCCTATCTATTTGAATTTAACATTTTCTGTCTTTACTCTGTAGAGTACTCACATTATTTCAGCAAGTCCCTATCTATTTGAATTTAACATTTTCTGTCTTTACTCTGTAGAGTACTCACATTATTTCAGTAAGTCCCTATCTGAATTATTTTCTGTCTTTACTCTGTAGAGTACTCACATTATTTCAGTAAGTCCCTATCTATTTGAATTTAACATTTTCTGTCTTTACTCTGTAGAGTACTCACATTATTTCAGTAAGTCCCTATCTATTTGAATTTAACATTTTCTGTCTTTACTCTGTAGAGTACTCACATTATTTCAGTAAGTCCCTATCTATTTGAATTTAACATTTTCTGTCTTTACTCTGTAGAGTACTCACATTATTTCAGTAAGTCCCTATCTATTTGAATTTAACATTTCCTGTTCTTATTTCAGTAAGTCCCTATCTATTTGAATTTAACATTTCCTGTCTTTACTCTGTAGAGTACTCACATTATTTCAGTAAGTCCCTATCTATTTGAATTTAACATTTCCTGTCTTTACTCTGTAGAGTACTCACATTATTTCAGTAAGTCCCTATCTATTTGAATTTAACATTTCCTGTCTTTACTCTGTAGAGTACTCACATTATTTCAGTAAGTCCCTATCTATTTGAATTTAACATTTTCTGTCTTTACTCTGTAGAGTACTCACATTATTTCAGTAAGTCCCTATCTATTTGAATTTAACATTTTCTGTCTTTACTCTGTAGAGTACTCACATTATTTCAGTAAGTCCCTATCTATTTGAATTTAACATTTCCTGTCTTTACTCTGTAGAGTACTCACATTATTTCAGTAAGTCCCTATCTATTTGAATTTAACATTTCCTGTCTTTACTCTGTAGAGTACTCACATTATTTCAGTAAGTCCCTATCTATTTGAATTTAACATTTTCTGTCTTTACTCTGTAGAGTACTCACATTATTTCAGTAAGTCCCTATCTATTTGAATTTAACATTTCCTGTCTTTAATCTGTAAAGTACTCACAATTTTTCCAGTTAATTCCAATTATCTAACATTTTTTGTCTTTGCTCTTTTTTTCCCCATATATCTACTAATAACTCACTGATAATGAATTTCTGTTAAAATGACGGTAAACAAGGAACATGCTACAGAGAATATAATGCTGACAGATGTAAATGCTCCATGATATTTCTCAGAGCAATGTTTGTAAAAATTGACCATAATTAAAAATGGTGGAAGACTCCCAACTTTACATGTTCCTGTGTCCTGTTTTTCCAGCTAGAATGGTTTCTTGGTATTTCTTGTAGATTTCTGGGAAACTTATATTTTTTTTTTATTAACGGTTTCAATGCATTTCTTTTGCTTTGAAAACAATTTCCTAGTAGACAGTTTTTTGTTCATTTATGATATCATTTAGTCAATGATAGTGTAACAAGATGGTAAGCAGATCTTGGTAAACTGCAGCTCGCCAGTACTAAACAGGGACGAGAGGGGCTACAAACTCTCCCACATCTGTGACCAAGTGTTAAACAAAGTGTAGGCGAATTGGCTACAGCACATTATTACGATCTTGTGTATTTTTTGGGGTCTATAATCTGTTTACCATCTCGTTACACTATTTACTACCTAAGTGCATATTGGATTATAGTAAAGCCAAAACAGTTGGTTGATGCCTTACCATCTCCTTCATTACATACATCAGTGCTAGTACACCCTAATCTTCTACTGGTTGTGTTATAAGAACTTTTATTCTACTATCTTCTACACAAGTAACCATGGGAACTTCATACTTGGGATATGGTCCACCTTGTTGAGACAATGTTAGCCAACGACTACCAGTTGTGTATATTTCTATTATAGAGTAGGAAATCCCTTCGGGTTGCTAAGGATGAATTTGAGACACAGAACAGTGCCTTGACTGAGGATCTCCCCAAGATGATTGATGGTCGGATGGATTATTTTCAGCCAAGCTTAGAAGCCCTCATCAAATCTCAGGTATTATTCGTCATTAGCTGTGAGTTGATTATTAAGAAATGTCATTATCTGGCTAGTCCAATAGTGACTGATCTTCTATAGACTCCAAATTCAACCCCATTACTGACCTGTATGTCCTTAACTTATCTAAAATGGCATGTTCCTCTGACATGGCCATTGAAATACCAGTGTTATTTCAAATAAATTGTAATATTTAATTTACACTTCACATGTCCACCGAATTCAGTCACCAACTATGGTGGTTTTGGTTTCACTATGGTAAGATTCATCTCACTTTGGTTGAACCAGACCAATCATTTTGAAACATGACAGTGATGCAGTGATAGGTTGATGGTTATTGGTGTAGATTTCTGCATTGGATGGAACAGTCTGACTATAGTGAATACACTAGTCAATGATTGAATTCACATGACAATTATTTAAGTGCTATACTGAGGCATAGATAAGACACATTACATTATACATTGTGTACAGAGTTATTGCCCTTTGTTTACTTCCAATAGCAATACACTTATGTTGATATTTTGTCCAGCTTACAAGGTCAAACACAGAATTCTGGTTTTCAACAGAAAATGATCAAGGGCTTAACTCTAAACACATTGTTCATCTATAGCATTTCAATAATTGTTTAATGTCTGGAGGATTTCAGCTAGCTTAGCTCAATCTAACATTTAGATCCAGTAATTCTCAATATGTAAATGCAAATGTCAAGATGATTTTTGCCTATTCTCATTTGAAGTACAGAACATTTCTGATCATTGATTGTTTTTTTCAGGTGACTTACCATTCAGAAGTTTATCGTATGTGTACTGAACTGTCAGACCAGTTGCAGGGCAGTGAGAAAAGTACCAAGGACACAAGAGCCAGTAAGATCCAACAGAGCCTGGATAGTATAAAAGCCCTATCTATCACACTGGACTAGTGATACACAGATATATAACACTACACAAGTGACACACAGATATATAACACTACACAAGTGACACACAGATATATAACACTGCACAAGTGACACACAGATATATAACACTACACAAGTGATACACAGATATATAACACTACACAAGTAATACACAGATATATAACACTACACAAGTGATACACAGATATATAACACTACACAAGTGACACACAGATATATAACACTACACAAGTGACACACAGATATATAACACTACACAAGTGTTACACAGATATATAACACTACACAAGTGACACACAGATATATAACACTACACAAGTGACACACAGATATATAACACTGCACAAGTGACACACAGATATATAACACTACACAAGTGACACACAGATATATAACACTGCACAAGTGACACACAGATATATAACACTACACAAGTGACACACAGATATATAACACTGCACAAGTGACACAGATATATAACACTACACAAGTGACACACAGATATATAACACTACACAAGTGACACACAGATATATAACACTACACAAGTGACACACAGATATATACCACTACACAAGTGACACACAGATATATAACACTACACAAGTGTTACACAGATATATAACACTACACAAGTGACACACAGATATATAACACTACACAAGTGACACACAGATATATAACACTACACAAGTGACACACAGATATATAACACTACACAAGTGACACACAGATATATAACACTACACAAGTGACACACAGATATATAACACTACACAAGTGACACACAGATATATAACACTACACAAGTGACACACAGATATATAACACTACACAAGTGACACACAGATATATAACACTACACAAGTGACACACAGATATATAACACTACACAAGTGACACACAGATATATAACACTACACAAGTGACACACAGATATATAACACTACACAAGTGACACACAGATATAAGTACAGGGTAGAATTATAGAAATAAGAAAATCAAATATTAAACTGATTATGAATTAGATTTGCTGTAAATTTGCAATATATCTTAAATATGAAATATATGTTAGATATAATCAAGTTAAGAGAGGATGAGGGAGAGGCGGAATGAGAAAGTGACTGAGGGAAAAAGAAAGAGGGATGGAGAGAACACAAAGAGTTTATAAGTGTAGTGTATTGTATGCTAATCTTTTAATGATGATGTTAGTAGCATTATAAACATCTATATTATTAATATTAATATACTCGTATTATAGAAGGGTTTTTATGATCCCATGTTTGTTCTTATCCCAACGAGATTGTAGAACAGAACAGTAGCTCTGTTATGTAAATTAAAAACTGTACAAATCTGCTTATTTAAATAATGTGTGTCTTACAAAGCTGAGTGGAAGTTATACAAAAGATTAGAGTTTGTGTAAAGGAGGTAAATTGTTAAAGACTGAGAGAAGGTTGTAAATGTGCAACAATTAACCTTAGATTAAATGTAAGTTTGATGAGGAACAAGAGAAGTGAATGTTGATGTATTATCTAACTGTCGTTAAGATTTCTGTTTGTACAAAATCTACTGTGATCAGTGTTGCTGAGACCATTCCAATACCTATAGGGCTGCCATGTTTCTTGATACACATCACTGATACATGTCTCTATTGTATACACATATCTGATACCAGTATTTGTTAAATACACATCTGATACCTGTATCAACTCTGATACTTGTATCTGTTGTATACACATTTCTGATACCTGTATCTGGTAAATACACACATCTGATACATGTATCTGGTAAATACACATATCTGATACCTGTATCTGTTGGAAACACACAACTGATACCTGTATCTGTTGGATACACACCACTGATACCTGTATCAGTAGGATACACACCACTGATACCTGTACTTGTTGGATACACACAACTGATACCTGTATCTGTTGGATACACACCACTAATACCTGTATCTGTTGGGATACACACCACTGATACCTGTACTTGTTGGATACACACCATTGATACCTGTATCTGTTGGATACACACCACTGATACCTGTATCAGTAGTATACACACCACTGATACCTGTATTTGTTGAATACACACCACTGATACCTGTATCAGTAGGATACACACCACTGATACCTGTACTTGTTGGATACACACCACTGATACCTGTACTTGTTGGATACACACCATTGATACCTGTATCTGTTGGATACACACCACTGATACCTGTTCTTGTTGAATACACACCATTGATACCTGTATCTGTTGGATACACACCACTGATACCTGTATCTGTTGGATACACACCACTGATACCTGTATCAGTAAGATACACACCACTGATACCTGTATCTGTTGGATACACACCACTGATACCTGTATCTGTTGGATACACACCACTGATACCTGTATCTGTTGGGATACACATCACTGATACCTGTATCTATTTCTGCACCTGACTGATACATGTGTCTAATGGGGACACATCACCAATACCTGTATCTGTTGGATACACACCACTTATACCTGTATCTGTTGGATACACACCACTGATACCTGTATCTGTTCTATATCTGTTGGATACACACCACTGATACCTGTATCTGTTGGGATTCATGCCACTGATACCTGTATCTGTTGGGATACACACCTCTTATACCTGTATCTGTTGGGATACACACCACTGATACATGTATCTGTTGGGATACACATTGCTGATACCTGTATCTGTTGGATACACACCACTGATACCTGTATCTGTTGGGATACACACTACTGATACCTGTATCTGTTGGATACACACCACTGATACCTGTATCTGTTAGATACACATCACTGATACCTGTATCTGTTGGGATACACATTGCTGATGTTATTTGTGACTTCTGTTGAAGTGATCTTTAATAATCCATTTCTTTATTTAATCAGCTCAATAGTTTTGTATGTTTTCTTTGTTTTTCAGTATCAGTGTGACATAATCTACAAATTCTTGTCTGGTGAAATGGTGCTGATCATTTCTGTATTGTAAACTTTTCAGAATTTGCAAGAGACACCATTTTTTTCCATCATATAAATACTCTAGGTTACATAGGTTGCATAACAGTAATTAAGGGTCATTTGGTTTTAAGTAAAGATCAAAGCATGTCACCCTTATATGGTTGTAATAATTTAGATTGTAATATCAGTTTTTGTATGAAATGTCTTTCTTACACTATTGAGTTTTGTATGTGATAAAATTATTTACATTTAGTTTATATTGTGTATTGAGCTTCCTGCAAATAACTTGTAATGATGTAAATATAGCATTATTCAGGTTTTATATAAAGCCTATGTTGATAAAAATTCAAATAAAAGATGCTGAAGCTTCAAGTGAAACATATACCTCAGTATCGGGGAATGTGAGCGTCTTGGTTTTAACTTGTCAGTTGGTCCATCTTGAGGTAGTTTCTTGGCAATTGTCTCTTAAAAATGAAAGTTAGACTCATTGTAGTTATTGAGAAGTGTGAATATCAAATAATTTTAAACATTTTTGTATTAGTTTTAGGAGAAAAAACTTATCTGCTTTTTTGGTTTGATGTAATGAGTGTTTGTTCCTATTTGTTTGATGTGCCAAGAGCACCTATACCTGGTTTTCATGCTATTTACAACTATATTTTTATGTCTTGAAATTAATACAATATATATAAAGTACTGCTAATAAAGTAAAGGTAAAACAAACTAGACAATTTTTTTTCTGATTTTCAGATAATCACATGACTTTTCCATCTGCCCTTTGTTCAGGGTCTATTGTCTCACACTTTTGTTTTGCTATTTCTTCAGAAGTACTAACTCATCGTTCTCAAATTTTATGTACTGGGACTCCTTCTTAATTGGTCTAATTCAGAACCCTTCGGAATGCCAGAGAGAGCTGGTCTGTCTATAAACAGACAACATTTGAAGGAGCTTGACCACTTTCAGCTGTGCTATTGCTGAAGACTTTTTCCATGCAAGATGGTAAGAGAGTATCTGATGAATAGAAATCTGGATTCAAATTGGTCTGTGCAGCATGTACTCTCCCCTGCTGAAAGCTTAAGCCACATGGACTTTCCGTGATGTCACATAGAAAGACAGTAGACTGTTCCAGCAGCTTCTATATGGAGAACACAGTCTTGAATCTGCCTAGCCAGTTACCTCTCGACTCATTTGTTAATAATACTCTTAACTATGAAGTGAGTCATCTTGGATTTCTATGATGAAGTTTTACAGTCATTATAGTTATCTCATAGATATGTTCTGTTTCTTTGCGAGATATAAAGATGGGTGTGTTTGAAGCTCAGAAGTGTGCCTGTTGTCGCAACATTACTTACTGGGAATAACCAATATTTACATGGCAAATGTCGTCAATGAAACAGGAGACGCCTCTCTTCCAGAACACCTGGTCTTATTCTCCTTGTACTTTGCATTTTGAGTTTGAGTATGGCCACAAGGCAGCCATTTTGGATTTTGACGACTGATATTTATTATCACAAGTGCTCAATTTATCTTGCTCAAACTTCCTACGTAGACTATGTGTCCCAGTGTCCCTAGTTGTACATGCTCAAAGTTGGGATTGATTGGAGAAAGAAAATAGCCATAAGGCGGTCATTTGGGATTTTGCTCATTTAATTTGCTACTAAAAAGTGGTGATAGGATCATTCCCAAATTTGATAAGTTGCAGTTTTCTGATAATGTATGGCCCATTTTAGGACTGATTTGAGATGAAATGGCTGACAGGCAGGCATCTTTTGGAAATTTCAACATTACAATGCACTATCAATATCTTTATTACTACAGAAATATAAACTCAATGTATACTCAGCAAAGTATAACAGCTGGTGTCAAAGTTTGTATGTATTTGTAACAAGGTACTTCTAATCTGTCAACATCAAATACTCCATTTTATTAGGAAGAAATGTCCCTTTGGTATGATAGCAAATTAACAGGATTTGATACATTCAAGATCTGCTTAACAAGGTAGCAAACAAGATAACAGAATATTTCTTGTATTACATTTTTATTCCTATGGTGGCTTAAAGTACATTTAGTTCAAAACATTTGAACAAAACTGAAACTTTTCCTCATTTTTTTAGCTCATACAATATATTTTCAGTACACTGAGGTAATCTTCATCATTGAAAGATGGTACAAACACAACAAATATTCTGAGTCAAAAAAAAATCAAATTTAATGTTGGCATATCAATTTGATTAATTCCTTTCAAATTTTTTTTTTATGCCATTATATTTTGTGAAGTACTTTAAATTCTGATTTCTAAAGAAAGTGTCAAACAAATGTATTTAGACAATAAAACTTGTTAATTCACATAGCTGAACAAGCATAAATAGATATGGCTACCTGAATATGTCATACAGAAGTGTATGTCCCCACAAGGGTGGTAAGATTCTTGATATGAAAAGAGCTGGAAGAGACTGTCCCCACAAGGTTGGTAGGATTCTTGATATGAAAAGAGCTGAGAGATTGTCCCCACAAGGATGGCAGGATTCCCAATATGAAAAGAGCTAGAAGAGACTGCTCCCTCAAGGGTGGTAAGATTCTTGATATGAAAAGAGCTGGAAGAGACTGGCCCAACAAGGTTGTTAGGATTCCCAATATGAAAAGAGCTGGAAGAGACTGCCCCCTCAAGGGTGGTAGGATTCTTGATATCAAAAGAGGTGGAAGAGACTGCCCCCACAGGGTTGGTAGGATTCCCAATATTAAGAGCTGGAAGAGACTGCCCCCTCAAGGGTGGTAGGATTCTTGATATGAAAAGAGCTGGAAGAGACTGCCCCCACAAGATTGGTAGGATTCCCAATATGGAGAATGCATGAGGAAATTGCCAAGATATGGATGGTATAATATTATACAAGGTAGGAGAGGATTGTCACCACAATGATGGTATGAGTGTTGTGAAGCAATGTTTTACAACATGAATGAAGTAAATACACCTGTATGTTTATCAATTTCAAGACTGACAAAAGGTAAGGCTTACAGTGTTTAAATCAACTGCTGTTTTTTAGAATGAAAGAAACTCATGTTAACCATTAGTAAAATACCAGAAATCATGTGATTTTTTAGATGTTTTGATATCAAATCTATAAATACTGTTTGAAGTTAAAAAGAATATAGCAAATCTCTGAACTTGTCAAATGAATCAACAAGCAATGGACAGTCAGATGACACTGTAAATGTCTTCATTCATGAACAAGATATCAAATGTCCTAAATCAATCAAGAATCAAGACTTCAAGTTCTTTGATTATAGAGAGTGATAGGGAGGGTTAGGGAGACTTTGGACCTCCTTGTAAAGACATACAACACTACCGTAAGATTTAGGATGACAAATGGGTACCATCTCTCATCACATTTCATCACATTAACTTCAAACAAAATGAAACTTAAGCATACTTCCTGCATATACATGTACAATATGTATGACCTGGTTTGAAATCTTCAACATGGACTCTTCACTGAATCCTAATATATATATATATATTTCAATCAGTAACTGCATAAAGAATATTTTAATAGGAAACTTATAGGATACAAACATTTCACGGTAATAGTTCAACCACAATTCATTTACTGTACATACAAAATATCCCCAGCACTCCCACCCCCTCCCCGCACAAAAGAAAAAAAACGAAAACTTGAGCGCTTGAAAGCTGTTCAGTCTACTTGGTAACTCCTCAACAGTCTATCACTCTAGTCTCCGATATCTCTGGTATAAATCACAAACTCGGAAATGTCATACGGAAAATTTACTACACAAAAAAGTGTCATACTCTTCTCTATATCCTTATTCAATGGGTTGAGCTACTTTTGGTGTTTTAAAAGTATTTTGTAACTGTATATGATATAGTCATATAGATATTGCAGGAGTTTTGTCCTTTACTTAGGCATACAATACCTGCAACATGTCTAAAGGGATACTTGTGTCAGGAGATGGCTTAAAACAGTGTGACAAAGCCATTAGAAATCAGACTGAGGAGGCCCAATCACATTTAGTCTCAATAATTAACATCCTTTTAAACAGAACATTCACATTACAACAACACCCTCCTGCTACATCTGTTCACAGTGTTCACAGGACATCAAACAATTAGTTGAAACACAAACTGATTTGCGTAATGCATCAAGATACCATAGCCCTTTTCGCATTGATATGAAAACATACCAGAGCATAAACATCAGTATTTACAATTTAAACTTATGTGCAATTTAAGACGAAGGCATTTGTGTTTACGTCCATTTATATTTAGTGTATTGCTAGGTCCTGTAAATATTGATTTAGAATGTGAATACTCTGGACTGTAAACCAGAGCAAGGCAAAATAAATGCCCTCAAAAATCATCAGCACTTTTGTATCATTTTTCACAGATTTGGAGACATTTTGTTCTTATAATTGATTATATTACATTAACACCATTGCACAGTTAATTGTTTCTCCAGTTCCCCTGCTACTGGCATTATATACTATTTTTTGCTGTAATATATTTCTACATCAAAAGATTAGTATACATAGTATACTCTGAAATCATCTGGCAGCTCCACAGTGATTAAAGGCTACACACTGCTGTTGTGATTGATCAGTAGCTACCGATAGTCCTTATTTATGCATGCTTAATACACAAAATAAAGGAATAATGATCTGATTTGATTGACAAAGTTTGAAATAAATATGTTAATCCCTGCATCAACACTTTCGTACACAATTCAACTCTCATATTTAAATTAATATCTCTGAAAATCTCCTATGTACAGAAGTTGTGCAAGATCTGGAGGGAGCTGTGATTCAATAAAAAAAAATTAATTTGTATGCAATCTAATAATTGGTTATGATTTAAGTATAATTAAATCAATCTCAAATGTAATATCCTTGACATTGTTACCTGAGGTTAAGACAAGAATATTTCGTTTACTTCTCCACAAAGAAAGATTTTTTTTGTAGATGTTTTTTTTTAAATCAATTTCCTGATTCTGTCTACTCTGTATTTTGGAAACTGTCAAATTGGAAAGCTGCCTATTAAATATAATTTAGCTAGAAAACATTTCTGTTACATCTAGAAACAGGTTTCTTTGCAGCTGAAAACATTTGAATACAATTTATACAAGAAGTATCTGTGGAGATCTTTTGGTGGAAACAATAAGAAAATTGTAAAGACTTAATATTTCATGTAGTATTCATGTGTCATATCGGAACTAGTGGCAGCTCAACTGTGGAAAAAAATACAAGTTTGTCCAGAAAAGTAGAGATTCTAAAATATTTTAGAACTAAAGTTTATATTTTGTGGTTTGTAATTACTTTCAAAGCATAGGGGTATTTAATTCTATAACTGTGAAACAGAATAAAGAACTGCCCTAATCAGCCTATTAAGTTGAAGCATTATCCCATACTCCAGTTATGAAAATGAAAGCCATCTGAAAGACAGATATCTGAAGCAATGGAGAATAAATTGCTTAGAACATTTACACATGAAAGCTTCATCTAGCTTTCAGCCATTGTAGATGTCAAACTGTAATATACAATACAATAGTGAAAAATACTACCAAGATTTCAACCACAGCAGATATCAGAAATTAAGATCACATTCAACAGACTTCAATTTTTTTTACTTGTATGCTTTAAAAAGTGTAGAATAGTAGCAATAAGTCAAATCCTCTACGGCGATTTTGTCAATCATGTATTTTGTAAAATCAGAAAAACACTTTCTCCTTCCTGCAGTCATATGTCAAAAAGTCTACACAGGAATTTGGCTCCAGAGAATTGTTTCATCTTCAAACACTTGCACAGGGATGAAGACAGAAATGTACACATTCTTTGTTAAAGGCCTTGTATGTGGATTTATCCGGCAACAGTATTTGTGATTTGCAGTGACACAGTCTAATAGTCATCAAGATCAAAATCCTCATAGTCGTCAAATGTAGGGGTGTTAAAGACCTGGAAGTCGACCTGATACCGTAAAATCCCTGAAAATGGAAGTACAAAAAAAACTCATTAGCTATCTGTAGCTTCAATGACAAATGAGTTATACTCTAACTTAGATTCTTATTAACGCAAGAAGCCCTCCAGTATGAATTGGCACAGATTGGTTTGTCTGCTGACCTAGTGACCAAGTCTATGGAATGGACCAATACTTGTCGTAGCTTTTATGAATTATTAAAAATGGTGTAGCATAATGATCAAAAAGCTTAGTAGTCAAATTTCACCTTCCATATTTCATCATAACATGCTATATTATAAGGGTTATGCAGATATCTAGATTCATCTTCATGCCCACCAGTGACCATGAATTAAAAGTTCAGAAAAACCATCGGGGTAGAAGAAAATTTCGATCATCACATAGAATTTTCAATAACGTTACAGTGCATCAAGTACAACATCAATCAATCTGGATTTCTTTCGATACACCAATCCAAGAAAAATATTTTTAAGCCATCCCAAAAGAAAAAGAAATTGTGATATCAGTATATTTTGAACCACCTACCTCCTATTCCACCAAAACCTCGCACAAACTGCGCTCCTTCTTGTGATTTGTCTGTGATAATTTCTAATGTGGCACCTGTCAGAAAATGATCAAAGTATGAGATCATAGTGCTTGTTAACAAAACAGGTGTGAAAATGTTATGTATGTCTATCATAAATCAATGGTCTTGTGTACGGAAGGGCCAAAATAAGCAGATGTAATACCTTTTACACCTTGTCTCAGACATTCTTTGTATTTTTGGGATCCCCTCTCCCAAATAAAACATTGGTGATTTAAGATATAAGTCAAGGGTCTGGAAAAATATTTTAAAGCACTAGGCACAGGACTAGTGGACTGAAAACTTTACTCGTCTGGATTGGAAATTTACTTGTCCAAATTCAGCCATGAAATGGCAACTTAATCAGCGAGGATGTGATATGTGACTTTATTTTCTATTTTTATTTTAAGTTTTAGTGAAAAAATACTTTGCAGTGATCGCTGCTTTGTGTCAGACATTGTGCGCGACTTAGGCCTAGCTGTTGAGTTATCCTACGGACTAGGTGCTGCTAAATACAGACCGGTATATGATGGTACAGCCCAAGAGCACCTGACATCAGTATGACCGCGGGAAAATGACTAAGGTATTCCGAATGCTATATTTAATGTCATGGGAGTTCCGGTGTAATCAAAAGTTAGAGTGCAGACTGGAATATTTTGTTTTTGAAGTACCGTAAACATGTTTCTTTGTTTTAAATTTTCTTTGCATTTTTAGTAACATTGATTTCATTGGAAAAAAGTACTCGTCCGATGGACAACTGACAAAGATAAATCTGGTTGTCCGAGACAATTTTCACTCGTCAATGACGACCGGACGAGTGCTTTTCCCAACCCCTGTAAGTACAAGTATCATTTGATTAAAATTCTACCCCTGAGAGGCATTTAAAATTGAGAAGTGATGTGCAGTATAAAATTTTCTTCAATATTTGCTTCAGGAAAAACATCAATTTTTTTCTGGTGTAATTGAAATGTGTAGACTTACCAAACTTCTTATAATTGTTTGCAAACCATTCCAGAAGAGGCATCTGTTCTGACAACTCCAACTCTACACCCGTCTGTTCAAAAACAATAAAACACAATACAGAAAACATACAGGACAGTAGCAGATTAAATTGGATCATATTGAATACTGTTTGATGCAAGTTTCATCTTTTGAAACCCATTCCCCATTTCATTACATCAGACTATACTGATAGGGACAAGCCTCTCCCTCACTGTCAAGTCTCTGTAAAGTAGAATGTTTTATTTCTCTGTATATCTATTGGAAAAAATAGTTTAAAAAAGTTACTACTTACATCTTTGTCTATAAAGTAAGTTTTATCTTTCTCTTGTTCTGGTTTCAGATGAAGAATATTTTCAACTGCAAAATAAAATTTCAAAATTATGAAGTTTGTTTTATTATTAGATTAAATTAGATGGCGGCCGTAACCGACATATTGGATATCGGGCAACAACGAAAAACAATAGGGTTGTGTTGGTCCATAGACCCAACATGCCCAGCGAAAATGGTGATCGCCGGTGATGTCGTCCTTGAGATAATGAGCGGAATGCAAATGTGGAGGGACAGACAGATGGAACATTTTTTAATGCACACTGAAAATGAATTAAATGAAGCTACTACTGATCTATAAACTTATGTTTGTTATCTTACATCTCATTCCACTGACGATATACTTTTATGAATTTACATAGAAATGTGTAATGGCAATCACATCAAAGTCTTTAAAACATATGCAAAGATAAAGTGAGTTTTTTACAGTCTTATACATAATTTTAAAATGCCTGTAATATTTGCTTCTAATCAAAATGGTACTATTAGGAATAGTCTAAAGTAATCAAATCATTAAGACTGTTACAACGACCTACTTTCTATACAATTATTGATTAACTAGGGTTTGCAATAAAAATCCTTACATTAGTAACAAGACGCTCAAAAATTGATTTGTTTGATGAAAGTTGCCCAGGTAGTAGGAAATGCATATTTTATCAATATATTAGAACTTTAGAGATAGAGATATTAAATGATTATCAAAAATATCAGGAATACCCAATCATTCATAAAATTTTGCTAAAATCATATATATGTTTTCAAACAGTAAACAACTGTGCCTTGACTTATTAAAGGGCAATTTCATCCTATACCTTCTGTCTGATGATTTTTCAACACATATCGCGTAATATCCAGATTTTCCCAAACAATGAGGATATCAACTGCTCCCATTTCTAAAGCTCTAAGTGTATCATCCACTCCAAAACAGTATTTTCCTGTGTCTTGTGAGATTTCATCAAAGTATCTCCCTGAAATCAAGGCAAAATATGTAAAATACATCTATAGTAAAATTTGGATATCTGAGTTAATGTCTACAAAATCATCAACTATTGTAGTATACTTTCAATCTATGTAAGGCTTCAACTCTTGCTTTAGTGAAATTCAAGTAATATATTTACCCTACAATTCTCATAGGTGCTTGTCTTGTTTAACAAGAGACCCATCATTTGAAACACACACAAAAATAAAATTTTCTTCTCTAGACCACACCATGCTTTTTCATTCTGTCCCCTGGGACATACATTTAATAATAAAAGGCTGAATTTAACCAAAGCAACTTAATATATTTCAATTTTTACTTTTCACCATATCCTTTATCCAATCACTAATAGGTGTTCTATCTCAGAAACATTTACTAAATAGGAATCAAGGTGGTGATCAATTATTAGGTATAACATTACATGAAGGATATTTTCATCTGTGAACACACGGGGGTCATAATGTCTAAAACTTCATTATACAGTTTACATGTTCTCAATAGAACTTTCAGAAATTCTTTTCTGTTTAATGACTTACCTATGAGTTTTTTTTCCTGAATAAATTTAACATTTGCCAAAGCATCAGCTGCCAGTTCAATGGCCTGATTAAATCCGTTCTCCCCACCATATGACACATCAACTATCTTGATGATTTTTGCTTGCAGCCTCTGTAAATTCAATCAAAATATCTAGTTAAGGATTCTTCTTCGTCTTACTTTCCAAGAAATAAACAAGATGCATTTTGTTAAAATAAAAGTTCTTTTAACACAAATAGTAGAAGATTTGATAGTGCCCTTTTGATGACTACATTTTCACCATTATCAGACAAATGACCAGTGTAAAGCATATTAGCACTGGCATATATAGTGTACCAGATGGTAAAGAAATGACCAACTTTTTTGGCTGTACCATAATCCTAGGTAAACTAAGGTCAAAAATAGTGTGATAAGATAGTAAACTATATATATACATAAATAAATAAAAAGTTATATCATATAATAGTTTCACAATTACTTTCAAAGACAAAACACATTTAGCCTATTGTTATTCAGACAGTAAGTTAACAGTCATGTTCAGATCATGGTGACTGCGGTGTTGACCTTCATTTACAGTATTAAACACAGCGATCACATTTATACAAATGAATGACAACATTGAATTAATTAACATAGTATAACAAAGAATTTTTAGCACTACATGTCCAACAAACTTACAGGATCAAACATATCTGATTGACTCAGTTCCGTTTTGAAATCTGCAGAACCAGCCAAAACTAAGCCTGCAATATTTGGTTTGTCGTTTGTGATGAATAGCGTCACGGCAACCTCAGCAACTTTTCGGACATAGTTGTGTCGTTTTTCCATACGGAGACGTGCAAAACGCAGAGCAGACTGTCCTCCTCTTCCTGATAACACAAGTAATCATGTGACATATGACTTTACATTCAAATTAAAACTTTTTTGTATTAACAAAACAGATGGTTTTTTAGTTTTACAAATAAAATACTTTCGAAATGAAGTAGAGAAGCTGTTAAGATATCAGTTAAAGACCAGAGTTTCTTAATCCATTACTCCATCATAATTGAAAAAATTTCACTTACCAGTCTAAATATGCAAATAAACACAAAACAAAACTACTCACCATGCTTTTTGGGTAAATCGACTGTAAACTTGTGGAGAACCTCTCGAGTATTTCCTGAGAGTGTGCCAAACAGGGCACCATTTCCATCCATAACAATGAAGCCAAACTTGTTGTCATCTGCTAGCAGGGCCGTTAGGGCCTACAAAGTCAATAAAACATTTTCTTTATAGGTTCTAATTGGTAATTTATCAGATTTGACTGCTTTTTGAAGTAATAAGCCTTGAAATACCCATGACCAAAAAAATCATTACCATTATACCCCAAATCTTTCATTTCAAAACATAAATGGGCATTAAGAGTTATGGTAAACCTTTGGTGAGTTTGAACAAATTATCAAAATATTGTTGAACCTGTTTGAATTATACAAAATTATGCTTGTGAAGATAAATTAGAGTTCAAACTATCTGGGCTGACATTGCCAAAAATCATGATGAAGTGTTTGAAAGTGTCATAGCAAGGCAGGAATCTATCGGTCTAGAGGGGTGGAAGGTTGTTTCTAGAATTATCATCTTTCGAAACACTTACTGTACTGCAATACATGTTAACTGACTGTTAAGAAATCACAGGTTTCATTTTTCATAACTTTTGGATACCCTGACAAAATCAGCCTATAAAACGCACATTTCTGCTTGTGTATTGGTGGAAGTTAGCACTGACATATCTGTATGCAGAGTGTGGATTGAGACTTAAGATGATTAAAGTCTGTTAAAATCTGTATGAATCTTACAATTATTGAGATAGTCTTGAATGATTAGTTATCAAAATGTTTAGTGAAAACCATGTTATCCTTTCACAAAACAAATGGCAACATCAAGTGGTCTGTATATATATTTAGTGATTACTTAGCTTGTAATACAGAGTTGGGGCTTCGAGTTGCGTCAGCTGATGCACACAAGATGTTATGGCAAGATGTGAAAGAAATCATACTACATACACACATCAATGCTAATTAAATGACATGGATGTGTATAATCTGATGCTAACAATTGCTTATGGTGGTCATTTACAACCTGCTACCCAATGTTTAACCTCAATATGAATAGTGACCACATGGAGCGATTATTGTGACACCAATGTCTTTATCAATGGTTAAACATGCGGTCTCGCAATATGTTTGAACAATTCAAAATGTAAGTTAAACAAACTAGAAAGGGTTCAAACAATCACTAGACAAAAGATCCCTGTTTATATTGAAATAATCACATGTTCAGACTACCCAGTTATTCTAACTGACCGGAAGATTACCGTATTCTACTTGAAATTGCATTATAAAATCACCATGACCTTAATTTGACATTCATCAGCTTCAACTATTAGATTTTTTCACTCATTTTTGAAAAAGAAATTGTGAGAATTGATTTACCTCGGTATGAAATTTATTATCACAGAGATATAAGGATGTGTTGATGGGTCTGAATGGTTCAAAGTCAATGTTAACTTTCTTTTCTTTTCCTTCATCTGTCACAATGGTACCACAGTATATCACAAGGCCGTTCGGTGGAACTAAGGAAGCAATTAAATTGTGTTAGCATTCACACTCGATAAATTGAAAAAATACCCTGAAATCGAAATAACAGGACAGAATTAATCAAGAAAAACTCAAAGAAAATATGGACAAATAAGAAATTTTCAAAAACAGAGATTACGTTGATTTCAATTTCAATGGTTAAACAATGGACATGGTATAATTTAAAATCAAAACTTACCAACATGTAACCTAAAGTCTTCATCAAATATCTTGTTGATTTATCTTAAAACAACTAATTATCTGAGGCTTGGATATCTGAGTCCTGGATTAATCAATTTTTTTAAAAACACATCATATATGAAGTAATAGAACTTTCAATAATTCAGGAAATAGTGGTCCAGACTTGGCATAAAAAATCCTTCCAAAGATACTGGCCCCATTTAGTCTGTGTATACACACCTTTGTTATACAATTTGAGTCGCTGCTGTACTGATGTGATGGCACCAAGAACAGATAACCTGTTGACTCTACTCTTGATGTTAGATGCAGTACCAAACTCATCAGCCAGCATTTTGGACACCCGAGATATCTGGTCTTTGGGTGGAATGATCAAGGAAATCATGCTTGTACCATTGCTATGGAGAGAAGGAGTAATTAAATTAAAATATCTGTATAAAGTGCTAAAATGCATAAATACATATACAGTACTATATTTCCATTCTACCATTAGTTTTCCATTTAATTCTATTTAAACCAGATGTTAGTATATCAGGCTATACACACCCATCTCATATATATGATTACACATTCAGCAGTCAAAAAGTAATCCTGGTTGATATACAAATATCATATTTACATTCTGTGTTGTATTTGGCTAAATATCATTACTATGCCAAATTGTAGTATTTGAGTCTGTATAATATTTACAGTAATTTGTTCAGTATAGGTATGAATAAATCTTTATGTCTTTCAGGTAAATAGAATTGGCTGCCGGTTACATTCAGTATCAATAGCTTATACAGTGTACTGACATATCCAAAGTTGTTGGACTTAAGTAAGAGGCCTTCACAAAAAATAGATAACTTTACTTGGTTACAAATTATAACAGAACAAATTCTTAGTCAAACATAATTATATCTTAAGAAACACTAGACACATTGTTTTGTGAAATCTGATTGAAAGCAGCATCACCTTTTAATGAAATATAAATACACAATGAACTGCTTTTATTTCAAAACGATGCAAAACATAAAAAAAAAAAAACACTGGGATAGTTTACACTTATATCTTAATAAGCAAGCAAAATTTGTGACTATACTATTTCATACAATTACTATTTATGACAACACAAGGGACCATATAATTGTAGCTGTTCTTGGATTTGAACATGCTGATGTCAATATTTGGTTAAGCAGGAAACTTAACTGATGTTTTCCTGTCTTTTGTTTTGACCTTTATATAGATATTTGAGAATGGAAATATAAACAATAAACTGCTACCAGGTGGGGTATACAGTTGATATGAAGTCCATACAAGTGAAAGATAAATATTCATGGCACCTATTCTATTTTCCTTCTCCCCAGATTTGCTTCATATCAACCTTATACCCCATCTGGTAACAGTTTCAATAATGCATAAAAATGTAATACAATGTTATCAAACATTGAAAAAAGTTTCTGATTAATTACGAAAGTAAAAAGCAATATTTATTTGCATTGAGAATGAGTATAAATTTACTCATAAAAAGCTACAATAAAATGAAAATATACGTTGTTTAAACTTGTAATAATATGTCTCGTTTGTCCTCTGCTTTGCACATATCACTTTTTAAAGCAAAGTTCACATTTAAATATTCCAAAAATTCATGTACCTCCCCCTTCCTCCCCAATATATACCAAATCTTTAACTATCTATAAAACCCCACTTTCTCAAACCTCTTAACTCTAATACTTATTTGTCAAACTGATCACTTAGTCCCAACCATGTTTTATAAATTTCTTGTTACTGGACCTTAAGATTCCTTGAACCATTATTCCATGAATACCCCAAAGTCCCAAAATTCATATTCGTTCAGATGTTCATATTTCTTTTATAAAGGTGCTCAAAAGATAGGAGATAATGTGATTAACAGTGGCCATCTGCAAATCTTAATCAGAACATTTCATATGAATTTGTATTTGAGTTTGCCAAAGAAATAATCAACAGCTGTTCAAATAGAAATTTGTGGAAAACAAGATACTGAATGGCAACAATCAACTGCTATTGAAAAGAAAAATGTGTTTTTAGTAGAAAACAAAGATATTGATGGCATATTTATCGGCAGGTTTACGGATGAACCAGCCAACATGATTATCCACGTACCATTACTTTTTTTTTTAAAGACGAGGTTAACAATAACACAATGTTCAAGAAGAACATTGTATGAACATTTCATCACTTACAATCTCAAACATTCCCTGAAAAAATATTTCACCTATTGGATATTTATTCTGTACGTGTGTTTATTTTTTTTCCTGATACGCCCATAAAAAGAACCCTTTTCGAGACAAACGAGCACTGTATCGTTCTTAGCAAAAATTGGTTAGGGTGTGCTTGAGGAAATCTTTGCTCATCCGAATTTAAAAGGAATTTTAAAGTTTCCCAAAAAAGTGAGATATATAAAACATAATGATTTCAATGTAAACAACACATTGAAATCATTATGTTTTATATATCTCACTTTCTAATAAATGTTAACAGAAAATTATTTTTTGCATATTTGAAGAACATAGCAACTGTAACGTATTTAACGAGCACGCAATATCGTGACACGTATTATTCAAGACATAATCGTCCAATACGAGACACTTTTTGACAGAAGATATTAAAAACATTACCCCCTCGCTGCTTCTAAACTTTTTATCAACTTTTTGATCTTCCATATCTCGACGTTTCTATCAGCACTGCTTTCTCCTTCTGTACCATTTGATGCCATCTCTGTTGGCTTAGAAAACTTCCCCGAAACCAAGTCTTATGATCTGCCGTATGGCGGGAATAATCACAGAAACCCGCCTCTAAAATCCTAGATCTCAAGTCCACAAGTATATTTTTGATCTACCGAAACACTTCAAGACTGTTTGTGTTATATTTCTATGTTTAAGATCGTAAGAACCCGAAATAGAACTTTTTGTTGTGTGATTGTGCAATCAAAGCCGTGGGTTCCTTCTTCGCCATTGACCATGTGAAATTTCTGACGTCAAACGCTGCCCGGGCAAAACCTGGTGCTTATTTCATTGGTTGATATCAAAATGCATTTATAATTTTGAGCGAGATTATTTTGATCAGAAAATACGTTTACATAAATATTTAGTGCAGAACAACAAAAACGATATAGGATATTTATTTAACATTTCCTACTTTAATTTAATAACTAATCAGTGTAAGATTCATTCAAGAGGTCATAGGTCATAATGGCGGCTTCCATCAAAATAGCTGTTGCACGTGAGTGTTTATTGTGTGTTTATATTTATGATTTTAAGATTTAAGCATCGCTGCGATAGCTCAGTAACTTTTAGATTTTAAAAATTACAATATACATCATTATTTTCAATTCATGCTAATTAATGTTACCAGTCATAAATGCTGTTAGTGATGTGATTGATCATAACTTTTTTATTGATAATTTTATGGATAAGTTAGGTTTCGGGCACCTGTATCTGGAACGTGAACAACACAGGGAAAATCCTACTACAGCATCATACAAATCATAATTTGAAAAACGTCAGTTGGCTGTACATTGTGTAAGATTTCTCTAAAGAATATGATGTTTTGTATAAAGCTGTCGTTCTGACATGTTTAAGGGATCTTCTCGACACCAGCATCATTCCCGAACGACGCAGTCAGGAGATTAATCTATATATGGTCCAAAGTTCACAAAGTAAACTTGCCCTTTCTTTTTCGTGTCTGGGAAATAGCACACGTATAAGCAGTTGGCTTGTTTTTAAGTACATCTTGGGATTTTGTAATCTGATGGGTGCTGTTTATCATTGTTTACACAGTGCCCTTCATGCCTCGGGCATTTACCTTTCACAGCTATTGCTAATTTTGGCGATCATCTTGTCTGGAACTTAACACTATCAAATCATTGGCTATACTCAACATGTCTGTTGAAAAAAACAAAAGATATCAATGGAATTTACTTCATTGTTTATTTCATTCAGTGAATTCATAATGTTCCACTCCTGTGAACTGTTATCTCCAATCAAACCATGACTCTCACCAAATCCCCTGGTTACTTGATAATGGTATGTCTTGTTTATGGAAGTTATATCATAACTTCAATATAAAAAAGACCAATAAATAATATGGAATTGGATAAAAGGTAATTAGCACTATCAAAGTCTTACACTTATGTATCAATGATATGTAAGCATATAAGAAAACATTGAGAATTTGTGATTTAATAACTTGTTTTGATATTTATTTGTCATTTCATTAAAAGGTTCTGAGGAAACAATTGTGTAAAGTACCAAAGGATGATGACTTGAACTGATGGTGTAGTCTATTTTGTGCTGCCGATTAGGAAGATAATTGAGACAGGCAATCAGCTGGTTGAAGTTTTGAAAAATACCAAGGAAGACAATCCTGATGTGTGAGATTGAAAATGTTCCATCACCTTCAGTGTGCATTCTTGTTCTTTCTGGATTACCTGGAAGTGGTAAATCATCATTAGCTAGATCCTTCAAGACTAGCCATGTTAAATCATCATCTCCCAGCATTCCTCAAAACATTAAATCTGTGTCGGGTGAATTGCCATGGAAACTGGAGGGCAGAGCATCATTGGACAAAGAAGTGGCACATGACACAAGGAAAGAAAACTTCAATGTGATTCTTATTTCTTATGATGAATTAATACCAGAAGAAAAAGAGGCTCAGATGATTCAAAGTGGTGTAAGTCTTGTGTTATCATCATCCTGGATGTTTTAATGTTGCAATACAGGACCATAAATTTATCAAATCTTTCTTGTTTATCCCTAGTGAAATGTGGTGCCATGTCTTTCTAGTAAAATCCATATATGTCTAGGTTAAAAAAAATACTCAAAAACAACAACACTGTGACAATACAATTATAAGTTTTTGCAACTGTATCCAAGAGTAACAATTTTAGAATAACTTTTTAATTTCTTGGTTTTAGGACTGAAATTGATGTACATTGACTTTTACAATTGTTCAAGGCGATAATACAAACAGAGGCATAATTTGAAATGTTATATCTAATATTCTATTAACTGATTTTACAGATTGATTCAGAATGGAAGACATGTAGAGAGCAGATTGTAAATTGTGTTGAAAGTCTGGTGCACTGTTTGTTATCTAATAAACTACTAAAGAATATGGTCAAACCAACTGATGATGAAGCATTATGGGAAAGATTTTGTCATGTTATACATAATCAGGAAGATGATTCAATGGAACAAAAGGGAGATAAATCCAGCTCATATGTTTTAATCATTGATGACAACATGTACTACAGGAGTATGAGATATAGATATTTCCAGTTGGCTCGTAAATGTAAGCATGTGTACTCTATTGTGACAAAAAGCATTGTCAAGAATAATTTGTCGAGAGCTTGCACTTTGAGCTTATGACATTAGATTAAGCAAACCTAAATTAATGGGTTGCTTGGAAATGTGTTTATATTTTAAGGATTGTAATTGTAACTGGTTATTGTGTGCTTTGCAGCATCCCAGACTTTTCATTAGCTGTTATAACTGCTCTCCTTCATTTGATATTGATTCCGTAATACTTGGGGAAAATTGTGTGCAATTATCCTGTTTCTTACAAGTTTAATGTCTCCGAACTTACATGTGTTAAGTTCAGCTGTCAATTAAGTCAGTCTCTTTATTTTTTTTAGTTGAGCAGGGTTTCTGCCAGGTACATCTTCACTGTACAGAAAACATAGCTAAAGAACGAAATAGCAAGAGGAAAGTTAGACGTGTTACAGATGAGGTCATCACTACTATGGCAACCAAAATGGAGGTGCCAGATCCCTCCATTGACCCTTGGGAAAAATATTTTGCTGTGTTAGAAGGTTCTACAGATTTTCAAAGGTAATGGTAAATGAAATGTTGTACATTTATCCTTAAAATAATGTAACAAAAGGTCGAAAGGGTCTGTATCACTCACCTGTTTCACTGCCTTTGAATAGTTGACATTATTGGAAAAGTACATGCAATTCTGGTAACTATCTCAAACATTTTACCGTTCTTTTGCAGTTTTTTTTATCTATGTTGAAGATGAAAGTTAAATGAGGTTGTATTCAGATTTGATTCTGGTAACCTGGCATGTGAATAAAAGTAATCTTTTGGGACCAATAGGTTAAACTTGATAGCCCTCCAACATACATCCTCGATACTCCAGGGATTGCAATCACTTTCACTCTCTGCACCCTGGGAACATGTCATGGAAAAATTTAAGGCACAAGTGAAGTAACATGATTTGTTCCAAGTGAACAAAACTGACCAATCATGGGCTGATACTCTTCTTTTGAACATTACAAAGGAGAACACCCAGCTTCAAATCCATTATAATATACCATTATGTAACCTCGAGATTTGTTGATGTACATCAAAGGATCAAACTAGTCTTTTCGTCCTATGCACAACTTATCGCATAAGGAACATTAAACTTTACCATGACATATTCTAGGGTACAGATCATAACCCTTGGGGTATCGAGGATGTTCACCTTAGCAAGCAACAGGTGGAATATCATAACCTGGACCTCTTGTTTAGTGAGAAGTCATAAAGATTTTAACACATTATCTCTGTGACCTTGAAAGAATGCCAAGGTTATTCATTTGGTCAGACTTAGTAACCCTTAATCTCAGAGTATTACTGGTGCAACATCATGACCTGGGGCCACATGATTATTGTGAGGAAGTCCTTTTTATAATTTTGAAACAGTTCACTTCTATGGCATTGAAAGTTTGTCATTTAAACTACTTAGTAGCACTTCTTTCTATGATGCTACAAACCCAATAATATGGCACTGGACCATCTTGTTGTTGAGGAATGGGCATCATAGATTTTAACACATTTGACCAATTTGTCCTTGAAAAGGTTACAGTGTCATTCAGAAGCCCTCGCAGCTTGCAACAGGTCGAATATCATGATCTTTTACCTCATGCTTGTAGAGAAGAGGTTTTTTAAATTGGAAAAAAAGCTGATGCCAAACAAAAAGGTGAGCCAGGTAGAAGGTTTCTGATTAAAATTGGTTGTATTTTCCTTCAGTCAGCTGTGTGACATTGACAGACTATTGCAGTTGGCCATATTGAACCCGCCACATTCACCTGTAGAGGACAGCCAGGGCAAAGAGGAGAGTCGACAGATTTGTTCTGTCAATCAGCTTCATCAGGCGGACCAGATATTACGCAAACTTGTCAGTAGTAGAATCAAACAAACAGGTAAACATCAAAATATTAAAATATCATACAGATGTGGGTACAAGTTAGAGAAAGGGTGGTAGCTATGTGTTACAATAGCAGAATAAATAGGGGAATACAGTTCAGTAATTATCAATGTTCACCTTTCTGGCTGTGTCTGAGACTGTTTTGTTTATCTGTTTGACCAGAGCTATCAGCCCATCTCTTTAAAATGTGATGTGGATTAATTTATCAGTAAAACATATAGCACTATTTTCCCTCTTGACATTTTGACTCATTATTACCATTTCATTATATTTCTTTGGCATGGGATGGGCATATATTGTTCCGCCTTACAGTAATCTGTTCCCAATAAGCTTACATTTGATGTTAAAACTGAAACATAAATTTAGCACATTTAACACTGGGTAAAAATGGAAAATTGATTAGGGGAAGGGATGGGTGATCTCTGGTGATTTCCATATACATTAGATTAGTTTATTACCAGGCTTAGGTTTATTGTCAGATAAATACAGTCAGTACTTCCTTTTCTGCAGGCACTGCCATGTCACAGCAGGAAAAGAGCCAGTTTGCCAAATTCTGCAGTATGTTAAAATCACAGATCCTCAAGGAGCTGCGAGCTGGGACCATTCTTGTGCCAACAAACATGCCAACTATGGATGCCTCGAAGATGGAGGACTGTCAGTTTTATAAATTTGTTGAAACTATTTTCAACAAAAGGACCTGAGACAGAGGTCATTAATTAACACTTTAACATTCAAGTTACTTTCTGAATGTTAATGTAAATTGAGCCGTTTCTATTTATTTTACATTATGTTTACAAGTTATTTTAAAATATACAGGTATATCTGAAGTTGTTTCTGTAGTGGTTTTTTGCTTTAGTCACTCTTTTGAATGGACCTTACCTACTAAAGTATTACCCATAATCCAGCAAAGATCCCACATTGAAGGACTATACAAAGACCGAAAAAGTGGGAAAAAGGTGGGTGACTGAAGTGGTTATATTTGAATATCAGAATTTCTTATCATTCCTTTGTTTCCATAACATGTCAAGATTTTGAAAATTTACTTCACACTCCCAACACTGTATTGAGTTTTTAATGGTTTATACATTTAACATTTTATAAAAAGCATGCAGTGAAAAATATTTTTTCCTGCGAAAGTCATGGTACAGACTATTGAAAAAAATTGAACCTTTTTTATGCTCTCGAAAGTCAGTGCATATAGTTGCTGCTTTGTCTGTCCATCCATCCGTCATAACTTTGTCCGCAGTATAACTCAAATGCTATAAGAGGAATCTACATAAAACTTCATAGGTAGATAGATCACAACAAGGAGAAGTGCAGTGCACCAGAATCATCACTCTCTTTTGCATAATTTAGGAGTTATTGCCCTTTGTTATATTTCATACTTAAATTCTGTTTGGAGCATTACACTAAAAATATAAGATAGAGCATAAACATCTGGATTCTGTAGTTTTATTATAAGTAGACATGTTTTGGCTTGCTAGACTTGCCTTCATCAGAACAACAGTAAAAATAATTGAATAGCTAAAGTAAAAATTGTAATTACGTCATGGCTAAGACATAATTTTTACTTCAGCTATTCAAATATCTTTACCGTTGTTCTGACGACGTCACCTAGCTAGCCGAAACATGTCAACTAATAATAACAAAGCCATGGAATCCAGATGTTGATGCTCCATCCTCTATGTCATTTGTACAACCAGGGCTTTGGTTCTCTTCCACTTCGTTAGATTTCATGAAAATATAAAAGGTACTGTGTATCAGCATGGAACTTCATAAGTAGATAGATCTCAACAAGGAGAAGTGCAGTGCACAAGAACAATTACTCTTTTTTTGCATAATTTAGGAGTTATTACCCTTTGTTATTTTTCATACTTTAAATTTTATCTGGAGCATTACACTGTAAGAGGTATCAACATCAACATGAAACTTCATAGATAGTTCTCATCAAGGAGAAGTGCAGTGGACAAGAAGCATCACTCTCTTTGCATGATTTAGGAGTTATTGGCCTTTGTCATTTTTCAAACTTAAGTTTTGTCCAAAGCTAAATCTATTAAGAGGTATTAACATGAAATTTCCTTGGGAAATAGATCTGAATGAGTAGGAGGGCAGTGCACAAGAATCACTCATTTTGCCCTTTGTTAATTATTCATACTAAAATTTTGTCCCATTTGGGGTGCATAACCCATTTCTGATAGCCCTTGTTTATTTTACAATTGCAAAACACATCATTCATACTTGTATTACTGACTCCTGTGGTCCCATATGGAAGTCTTACTGTGGAAGAAAACTGGAGGACCCGGGTAAAATCCATGTGGTCGGAAAAGTGACCCCATACCTATTCATGTCTGCTCCAAGAATCGAACCAGGACATGTAGGTGAATTACCACTACACCTCCCGACCACCCAAAACAGACTAGGTATTCTTTTCGTTCTTCATTTTATTCTAAAGTATCTATTTTTCACAATTTCAATTTTGATACAGAACATCTTAAAAATAATAACTTTAGCATTACTCCTGAAACATGATTGATTGTAAAATGCAAAGTCTGAATATAAATACATGTTAAGTTTTACCTGTAGACAAATTGAAAGGTTTAGTTTAATGCCATTATGATGGAAGTAGTCTTGGGCTGTTGCTAAAACAATAAGTCAGTTATTACAAAAGATTATCAATGTAAGCATACAGAGAGTGAGGAATAACCAAATTCAAGTTCATAGCATTCAATTTATTGTCAAAAAATAGTTAAGTTCTGAAAGAACAAGGAACTAAACAGAGATGGATATTGTGGTATTGAATAAATTGCTACAGATAGAAGAAAAAAGACAGCATGAATCTTCAATACACAAGGGTTCTACACTTCATAGCCTTATCGTCTATTCTAAAGTATGGGTCCCACACTTCATAGCCTTATCGTCTATTCTAAAGTATGGGTCCCACACTTGATAACCTTACCTTCTATTCTAAAGTATGGGTCCCACACTTGATAACCTTACCTTCTATTCTAAAGTATGGGTCCCACACTTGATAGCCTTACCTTCTATTCTAAAGTATGTCGAAGTAAATGTAAAGGCTGTGTACAACTGCCAATGATACAAATAGAAAGGTCTTGAACATGTTATGGAATTACTTGTGATGTCTTTCATAATGATAACTGCAGTATCACTGCTTAATTAACAGGCCTATTTAAAGATGTAGAACATTTTAATTTGCTAAGAAACATTTAACAAGAATATAGATAAGATTGGAAAATTGGCATATCAATTGCAGGTCCCTTGGTTGTCAAAGATGGCTGAATCTAAAAATGATTTCATGCCTTCTTGTCTTAGCATGAAACACTTTAGAACAAAAGCGTTGTTAGGGGAAAAAATACTGCTTTAATTAAATAAGGTTTAAAACAAAATACTTCACCAAAATACCAGTACTTCATTGTGAAATTGTGTAACATATGTAACATACATAAAAAAAAGAAGACTCCTGGCTGTAATAATTACACACTAGTATAGATGTATAAAGTAATTACCCGTTCTAGTATACGTAACTTCATCAATTAGTGGTGAATCAATACCCTAACAGATGAAACATCAACCTACAAGTACTAGAAAAACTAGAACTTGTAAAATATTTACCTCCATCCTCAAATCAAAGTTACTAAAGACAAAAAAAATCTACTAATTATCCATATCATTGATAAAAATTAAAAATGGTAAGTCACACCAATATTGTTATACATGTTGCAGAAATCCAACAATTCTTTCAAATGATTTTGAAAACAAGACCAGTGTGTCACTGGAATCACTTCGACAAGCTTATACAAAAAGTTCAATGTTTTGAAAAGTTCCAAGCCTTATCAAAAAGTAGTCTGATGAAATGTATTAAATTCCATATTTCATTGATATAAATGTCTTTCTCATGTTTTTGAGAAATCCAACATAAACTCTCACACTGATTTCCCTTTCAGACAACTGAATTTTAATTCAGACGATACATTTTTCACCACCAAAACAATCATGCGACATCATTTACACAATATTATGTATATGGTGTCACCTTAAAAGATGTCCGAGTGAAACACTATTATAATACTGCAGGGACTTCATCAGGCCTGAAATCACAGGCCCATTATCCAGTTTCTTTTTAACTTCAAGCATTAAAAATTCTGAGTTTGAAAATTTATTATGTTTATCAACAAGGCATCATTAATTTGAAATTTGTAAGATAGTTCTTTAACTTAGGTAACATAATTTTAAGAACAGGAAGTTGAGGGAATGAAAATGAATCCTGGTTCACCAGTAGAAACCCTCTACAGGTACCATAGTTTTAAGAACAGGAATTTGTAGGAATGAAAATGAATCCTGGTGCACCAGTAGAAACCCTCTATAGGTACCATAGTTTTAAGGAATTTGTGGGGATTGAAGATGGTTCTTGATCTAAGCAATGATAATAAATTATGTACAAATGTATTGCTATCATTTGACACGCTTTTTTAAGCTTAAAATAAAGATGAATACAAACTTCTTTTTATTATTGTATAAATTTTGCAAAGGGAGACAACCGTGAATTGAAGTTCATTGTACATTAAATGTATTGAAGACACAAATAAAGTCATTTTCCAATAAAATACAGAACAGGATTACAGCTGTGTGAAATATGAACATTTTGATATGAAATGAAACATTATCAAAACACCCAAATTGCAGAGCTGGAACACCAGACTGTGTCAACAGTCTTATCAAAGTCCAGGACTTGATATTGTACTCCATGATTTTGATTAGAAACAGAGCTTGATGGATTAGAGACCAATGTCCTTCTGTAGACATATGTTACCTTGTCAAAAATTCAGAAAAGAACAACACCTATATATGTGATGACTAAAATGATTCTGACTAAAATGAAGAAATTTGTTTATTGATATCTGTTCTCAACAGGAATCAGATTTACTCTAACAATCACCAAGTATTTTACATACAGTTTCCACAGGAAACTGCCTCTATAGAGTCCCTAAAACCATTCTTCTTGCATCTAAGGAATCTGCCTCTATATAGTCTCCCCAATCATTCTTCTCACATCTTTGGTTTTGGAAACTCCTTCTAAACAGGCCCTCAAATCACTTTTCTCACAGGAATCTGCCTCTATACAGTCCCCAGGATCATTCTTCTCATATCTTAGGAATCTGCCTCTATACAGTCCCCAGGATCATTCTTCTCATATCTTTGGAATCTATTTCTCTACAGTCCCTAAAGTCATTCTACTCACATCTTAAGAATCTCATTCTTCTCATGCTCTTCGGGAAAAAATAGATACGTTTTACTTTCCCCAGGAATCAACTTCTGAACAAGTTGGAAGGAAAACAATTTCTCCACCTTTGTCGCAAGAAAATTTGTTCTCCCAAACATCTCCAGGAATCAAATTCTCCAACAAAGTCCCCAGGAAACTTCATTCTTTCCAACATCTACTACATGCTATCATAAGAGCTCTAAAATAACTTCAAGAAATCCAATTTAGTTCAACAGTCACTGCGAGACAGCACTACTAATGCATCTGCACTGTGATCATGCATAATGTGTATGGTAAGTACCTACCTGTATAAGTAATTAAGGTTAATACTCACACACACCAGTACAGCACTGATGTCTACATCACTGGCTGATGTGACAGAAGTACAGTAATTACCTACCTGTATAAGTAATTAAGGTCAACACTCGCACACATTAGTACAACACTGATGTCTACATCACTGGCTGATGTGACAGAAGTACAGTAAGTACCTACCTGTATAAGTGATCAAGGTTAACACTAGCACACTATTGCAGCACTGATGTCTACAACACTCGCTTTATGCTCCCTCAGTGTAATCTTCTGAACAAGATAAGTATTGTTGAACTAAGATGTCTTTGTACTCCTAAATTTAGTTTTTGTATGATATCAATCTCTACAAACAATTACTTGTACCTTGCAAACAAGTCAAGTGACCTATATCCTCTATAGTCATATTGACCTATTCTCTACATATTTCTGTAATCATGTACAAGTCTCAGTGACCTATAAACTGTTTTAGTAAAACTTACCCTGTCCAAGTCACTGAGACCAGCATAATGTATCTGTATGCTGTGATCTATATCCTGTGCAACTGCAACACCTATATCCTGTTAAAGTTGTAGTGACCTATGTAATGCACAAGTCATTGTGACCAGTGACCTATATAATGTACAAGTCACTGTGACCAATATCATGCACATGTCACATTTACTAGTATTTTGTATATTTCAGTGACCTTTATCCTGTGAATGTCACCAACCTTATATAATGTAATCAACGACCAATATTAATGTACAAGTCAAAGTGATCTATATAGTGTAAAAGTCACAGTGACCTATATCCTGTTTAAGTTATGGTGACCTATATCTTATACAAGTTACAATGAAAGGCAAATACCAGTCATTATTGCGAATAATTAATTATAAACAAGCCAATGATCACTGAGAGTATATCTGTAACACTATCTGTTGTACTTCATTGACCTAATTCACATTGACAATAACAAAATGAAGAAGGGAATCCAATTGACACATTCAAGCTGTGTTCTGTACTATCCTGTGTGCAAATGGTTCACACACCAAAGTCAATGGTCACTAGTATCCTCCAGTAAACAAAATGGTGCCCTCTGACAAAGCTACGATTCACCAATGACAACAAGTCACGTAAGAACATCTCAGAAGTTGAGGAAATGTCTCTGTAATACAGTATTTGATTATAATACAAGTGGCCTACTCTCTGTGCTGATTTACAAGCAGTATTTGAACTGTATGTGTACTATCATACAGACCTATACTTCAGTGAAATTACAGTGTATGTTCTGTTTTCAAGTAAAGAGACTTAAACTCCATGACACAAGCACTATACCTCCTGTTCGCAGCAAACCATACTCTGTGTAGAGACTGCCACATAATCCATTGTTTTAGGTGACTTTTATACAACCAAATTAAGTTGTTGGGTCATTAGGTCAATATAAATCTATGATAGAAAACAAGAAGCACCAGAAGACAATAGTTTACAGGCTATAGGATCACAACAATCCATGTTTTTCCTTATAGCGCTGTCGTGCTGTTGCAATCATAAGTTTCTTTCGTTCATCCAGTGATAGCTGGCGATCAGGTGCTGTACGTGGAAATATGTTGGATTTGTATTTTTGTTGAGATGCCTGAAAACATCAAAAAGTACAATTTCATCTAAAAGTGGTATCAGAATTTTAAGATATACATGAAAGAAATACAGAACTACTTTCGATATGATATTTCAATTTTATATGCCTTAAATTCTAGTTATTGTATGAAATCCTAACCATATTGATGGATACAATGTAGGTTTACATGTATCCACTGATCACCTGAAGACAGCCATTGCTTCTAATTCAGTAGGAAATCATACTTACACAGATGCCTGTTTTTATATCCTCCATTTTTGGGGTGTCTTTTGTATCAGATTTTTTAGTATCTTCTGCTGTGCTTCCCTCTAGTATATTAGTTATTGCTGCATCTACATCTTTAGTTGTTTCTGAAAAGAATTCAAGATGAGCACTTATTTTACTACAGGTTATCATCACATTTGCACCCCTTAGTTTTCAAAACAAAGTTTACTCAGGCAAATCTACTGTTAAATACAATATACTACAGCATTAAGCTGGATATACAGTTGAAAATGGTTGTCTCAAAATCGCTTGAGTTGAAATTCTATTTTAGTCAAAATAATCTTAAGTCCTGATTTTTTTCCCCTCTTCATCTATGTAATTTTAGTTCTGATGACTCAAATTTCATTTGGGTCTAAGTTTTTTTTCATTCCCTTCAATTGTAAATAAGGCAAGTGAAAAATCATTCGTTGTCTCAAAATTATTTTTTGTCAAAACATTAGCATGTCTTCTAAAGAGTTTGATCAACACATATGAAGAATCGAAAGTCACCTGTACATAACACATGGCTAAAATGTATTGATCCAGAGAATACACAACAGTTGACCTCTGACAAAAAGTTACCAGTTATCAAATTAAAATGATGGCTTAATTAGTGTCACTGTAATGTAGCAATGACTTACCTGTACAAAAAGTTATCATGTTTTAAAATCAATGTGATAGACTGAAATTCCTTTACCTGTGTCAATTTCTTCATGTTATTGTTGTACCACCATTAAAAAAACTTTCATTTTGATTGCTCCTTAAGATGCATGCAACCTGGCCTACTACACAATTTTCTGACCTGTGCTGCTTATTTCATATATTTATTCTAGTAAAGTCGTTTTAACATGATCTGTAACTTTAAACATCGTTCCAAGAAGTGTATCAAAAGCAAAATATTCAAAATTATTTTAGATAAATCAAAAAACAAAAGAGAGAAAGTAGAAATCTATCTGCTTGTGTTAATTTAGAGCCCTTTTAAAATAACAGATTAGTTTACACTGTTTGAAGCACAGGGTACTGTGCAATTGTAGCAAGTGCTTTGTTCTAAAGTAATCCAGGTCATGAAACTGATATTGTCAATGAAACTAGCATTAAATCATAACATTTTCAATGGTCCCTAGAATTTGAGATAACAAGTTTCCATTGTAACTGAATTTAACAAAATTTGGTATATATTTTGTAGTCTGAATTCTCCCTTTTCTAGACATTTTTAGTGTACCCAAAATAAAATTCTTTTTAATAATTTCTTGGTTTTGTGATTTCTATTATACACTGTAAAATGTTATGTTCCAATAAAAAGAGCTAAATGTGAAATTCAGTTTATCAAAATCTTGGATATCTTAAGAGTTCATTGTATCTTGATGTTGATTCTGTGAATGATAGATAAGTTGAAGTTTCAATTATGTGATCTAACTTCAGATGAAATTTGGTTAAATTGGAGTTCTTGTTTCTGATGTTCTAAATGTAAAATAGTGTGAAATGTTGACGACAATGACAACATCTCCACTAACACAGCTGTTTCAATTTACGACAATTAGTTTAAGCAAAAGAAAATGTACCACCTCAGATATCATTATGGTGTGTTTAATAATCCAATCAAATTTTAATGTTAATATAATAATGGACATTATTTCTATACTCAGTGCAATAAAAATATTTGAAATAAAATGAATTTAACTGAAACAGGGACAATTATGTAGCACGGCAAACAGTATTGATAATGAAGGTAATTATTAAGAGATGGAGTAAAAATCAATTTAAGGAAAAACACATGATTGCATGCATCACATGATTTGTAAATAAATATTACTTGGTATATTTGAAGTTTTTTATGACAATAGAAAATCCACCTGAAAATGTTATTGTTCTATGCCTCATATGACAAATAAGTCCCAAAAACATGATAACAAATAACATTTAATGTGACAACTATGAACAACAGCATTTAATGTGACAACTATGAACAACAGCATTTAATGTGACAACTATGAACAACAGCATTTAATGTGACAACTATGAACAACAGCATTTAATGTGACAACTATGAACAACAGTATTTAATGTGACAACTATGAACAACAACAGCATTTAATGTGACAACTATGAACAACAGTATTTAATGTGACAACTATGAACAACAGTATTTAATGTGACAACTATGAACAACAGTATTTAATGTGACAACTATGAACAACAACAGCATTTAATGTGACAACTATGAACAACAGTATTTAATGTGACAACTATGAACAACAGCATTCAAAAGGATAACTATGAACGATAGCATCTAATGCATTACTATGAACAATTGCATTTAATGTGACAACTAATGTTTTCTTGATCAAATCATGCTTACAAATGGGAATCAAGTTATTTCATTTACAATTAGCAATGGGGTCATTTACTGTGCAATATGTTGTGCCAGTATTGTCATCACTAAACAATGAGGTATTAAGATATCACCTGTTTTTTAAGACAACCTCACACTGACATACGTACCAAGCTCTCGAATTATTTGAGGCATTGATGCAGTAGGCAACACATCTTTCACTTGCTGGGCCATCTTTCTAATTTCTGGGCTGGTGTTCACAAAGTTGTCTCCATTTGTCTGACTCTCCTTGGTGCCATTGTCTCTTTGACCTATCAGGGTGGGGGGAAATTACTGATAATGATGTACTTTATAGATGAAAGATAAATGCCAAGGTTTCAGTACAAATGAAAAACCTAAGATACTAAAATATTGAGATATTGTAAAAGTACTTAATTTGGCAAGATGTAATTTTAGCTCACTATCCCCTTTTGGTCAATAAGAGCAATGACGTATTTGCACATTCACTATTTCCAAAACGGCAATTAGCACAATCACTATTTTCAGGAATACCTTCAGCGGGAAAGCACAAAAGATATGATAACTGTTATAATATGTATGTTTACAGTGTATGTACATAAAAACCTTTCTAATTTCTATAACAGCTCTAATCTTTTTTTTAAATCTTCATAAACAAAAAAAAATTTAAATAGAGATCACAATTACATAACATACCATCTGCATATCACATACACTTGTCCATTCCACGAATATTGTAATATTGAAAACTGTAAGGTAGTAACACCTTTATAGTTCAAGCAACAGTATAATCTATACAAGCACCACTTACTTTGTAGATTTATCTGTCTGATGCGTTGGGCCTGATTTACTTGATCAGCACTGAGTCTCTTAAGGTATTCTACTTTATCCCCAGCTGTGTAATTGGTTGCAGGTACTCCCAAACTTACAGCAATCTTCTTCCTCACTCGCTCCCCAAACACCTCTGTTGTTTCTTTTTCCTCTTGTTCCATTGGCTCCAATAACCTGAAAGTCAATACCACATGCTTAGCGAACAGTTGATATCTTTTCAATAATTTTTAAAATGTCAAAGACTTGAAATTCAATGCTATTATAACTTTCATATTCTTATGATTCCAGCATTTCGTCCATATCATATATTTGTTCAACTCAAAATTGTCACTAATTAACCAGGCAGATAACTGTCAAAATGACCAATCTGTTTTTAAATTTCTAAACAACATCTCAAATATTCTTGTTAAAATTTTCTTGCTAAACATTTGTCACATAATATATCAATATACATTGTCAAAATTGTGCGTGGTCATATTCTCCTTACACTTTTCACAGGTTTCCATGTAAGTCTTTCTTTTGTTCATATTTTGCCCCAGTTTCATTAAATATGAGTTTGAATAAATATTCTGTCGACATGCATTTTCTTTTGTCATTTATATAAAGAGTTTGATGAAGTATAAAAGAGTATAAACTTACCGGAGCTTGAAGATCGTGTACGGGTAGAAAAGTATCCAGAAGCATTCACTCAATCTTGTACTTTTAATAGTAGACTGAAATAGAACAGAATCTCACTGATAGTACACCCTTACATAACAGAAGAAATGTTGTAATAAACTGTCATAAGTAAATCTACATGCAGTTTTTGTTAATGATCATTTGTTGTCCCTAAAGCAACTCAACATACAATCAAATTAGTAATGATTTATGCATATCTGTGAAACAACATGAACAGTGATGTTACATGTTCAACGGCAGATTGTTTACATGGTTGACCCTGGCTTGTGGCTTAAGTTTAATTCTCATTATTCTCATTGTTCTTGGCAATCTCTAGAACAAGATATTACTAACCACAGGCATTGTTGTTGGCAATCTCTAGAACAAAATATTACTTACCACAGGCATTGTTTGAGGCCATCTTAAGTATAAAATATTACTTACCACTGGCATAGTGAGAGGCCATCTTGTGTAAGAGATGCTCACCTGTATTTCAATAATAAGAAACTATTATCCGAGACAAATTTTGTCATAAATTTTAAGTTAAAATATTTGATACAAAAATTCTACCACATGGTATGGAGATTTATTGAATAGCAAAATTCACTGAGAATAACAACGAAATGTAATTAAAACTGTATGAACTTTTCTGTTAACAACACTACCAGTACAACGAAATGAGACATTTCATAAATTTCATTACTTCATTTCCTTGTAAACAGAACAGTGTCCACTGAATAATTTCATTGTCTAATGAGAAGCAATATTTATATGAACAATGAAAAACAAGAGATCCCAATCTTTGTGCCCACTTATGTTTGATCTTTTCTCTTCTCTTCTTTTGCTCTCAACGATAAGAAATTTGAATATACCTTCAAAATCCACTATGGTCGCCCAGAAGCAATTTTGTTTTTTCTAATCAGTCCCAAAATCAAACAGCACAATTAGAGACCAAAAGGAACTTACATATGAAATTTGAGAACGATCCATTTAGTGCTTCTTAAAAAATAAAGATAACAATATTTACTAGGCAAAATCCAAGATAGCTGCTTGTATGCCATCTTGTTTTTCTGATCAGTCCCATACTTAAACAGGCACAACTAGGGCCCAAGAGAAATCTATACATGAAATTTGAGAAAAAGCTATGTAGTATGTCTCCAGAAATAGTGATAAAAAACTTTCAAAGTCAAAATCCAAGATGGTTGCCTTTTGGCCATTTTGTTTTTCTGATGAGAACTAAAATCACATGAGCCTAACTAGAGACCAAGGGGAATCTACACATGTAATTTGAGAGAGATCTATCAAGTACTTTACTTCACAAGCGATAACAAACTTCATTGAAAAAAATCAAGATGGCCATCTGTCAGCCTTTTTGTTTTTCTGATCAGTCCCGAAATCAAACAGGCACAACTAGGGACAAAGGAGAACCTACAGATGAAATTTGAGAAAGATCTATTAAGTACTTCTCAAGAAATAGAAATAACAAAAATTGTCTATGTAAGGCCAGACAGACAGACAATGGACCATGGACGAAAGGCAATTTGAATATCAGATGGTGGGCTAAAAAATAAATTAAGATAATTTGAAAACTTAGTGATACTTACAGGCAGCACTGGAACCTTAAGTGAAAATGGAAATGTTCTGTAAATTAAAGACAATGTCTGTTTTAGTATTGTTTCTATAAATAAATTCAGATTAACCCTGTAACACTTGGTATATACAAATACATCCAATTCTTATCATTATTTTATTTACTTCATGTGCTAACAATGAAGATAAGATTTCACCTATTGTGCACCCAGAGTGCAAACTGATTTACTCTGAAATGGTAACATTAATGAATTTTGAAGCCAGCATTTTTACCAACTTTGTAAAAAAATTACGTAGCTTTTAATGTTATGTATGACTTTGCACAAACAAACAATTCCACATTTAAACCATCCATGATACTAAAGGGGTTATGATCACTTTCGCCCTCTGCACCTCTGGAACATGTCATGGCAAAATTGAAGGCACAAGCTAAGTAATTTGACTGGTTCCCAGAGAAAAAAAACTGACCAATCACATGTTGATACCCTCCTTTTGAAGATCACAAAGGAGCCACATCCAACTTCCTTCAAGTTTGCTTAAGACATGTTCCAGGGGTGCAGAGAGCAAAGGTGATCATAATCCTAGGAGTGTCAAGGATATGTTTAAACATATTAAACAATATCTTTTTCCCTATTACATGAAATCTTTTAGACAGACACTAGGAAGGGAGACTCAAACCTCAAAGGGACTCTGGTAATAATTATCAGTACAATAGTATAATAAAGTAATGCACTGATGGCTTTCAACACTGGCATCAAAATCTTCATATTTTACAAAACATAAAAAGGAGAAATCAAAAACATGTCAAAAGGTCTTTGTCTTTGTTTTTTTGTTTTATTTTTAAATTCATTTAGTCACACTCCATAGAGGGATAGTTAACCCCTATAGGAACTCTGATTCCCTATATCAGTACTTAATGGATGATAAAACAAGGTGTGGAGAATGTCAAAAGGTCTTTGTTTTTGTTTTTTTGTTATTTTTTTTTTTGAATTCATTTAGTCACACTCCATAAAGGGATAGTTAACCCCTATAGGAACTCTGATTCCCTATATCAGTACTTAATGGATGATAAAACAAGGTGTGGAGAATGACTGGTTTCTTGTTTCAAATGATGGCAGAGATTTGGAAGATCAAAGTGTGGCTAAAACCTCTTTTGTTTTTGAATGAAAAGGGATTCCATTAACACTAAAACTTGGAAACTTTGATTCTCTATGATTTCTAATCCAATAAGAGCTGGGTTGTTATTTTACCTAAATTTTAGAATTCCTGATCCATTGGTAGGAGTTCCCTCTGGCAGAAACAATACTGGTATATTCTGATCTGTGAAAAGACATGAAAGTATTTTATTCAATGTTGTATACATACATAATACTGTTGGTGACTTTAAAGTGATGAATACTAAATATCTGCTATTTCATATAAAAGTCATGAAGAAAGATAAGATATGGTAACATATAATCATTGTGTTGTGGATATCTACATATATATGCATTCTGTACATTTTCCTCAGAGAAAAAGATTAGACAATGAGTTTACAGAAAGGAACCTATTTCATAAGTCTAGTTTATACAGGTGTCCAGTTACAGAGAGGGACCTAGTTTATCAGTCTAATTTATACAGGTGTCAAGATTACAGAGAGAGAATTACCGGTAGTTTTGTAGTCACGTTTATACAAGTGTCCAGTTACAGAGAGGGACCTAGTTTATCAGTCTAATTTATACAGGTGTCTAGATTACAGAGAGAGAATTACCGGTAGTTTTGTAGTCACGTTTATACAGGTGTCCAGATTACAGAAGTATACATAAATTTCACTTTGATACAGTGAAGACCTGTGTGTACAATTTATCTGATCATACCTTGAAGATATTTCTTTATGTTTTCTTCCAGACGTTCCTTTCCCTGAGCTATCCCAAAGTCACGGTAAGAAAACAGCCATCGGTAGAAAGAAGAGAAACCCACTTCATCAGGCTGGAAAAAGAAAGGTAGCATTTATTTGTAAAAACTGTCTATTTGATGAGATTTTTTTTTATCCAAATCTGAATTAAATGGCATCTCCTGAATGTATTACTGCTGCATTGAAATACTGATGATGTTGAAGATTGATCATAAAAAAGTAGGATTTATTGTTCATATTCAGCAATGAGTTAACTAGTATATAAATCAAACTGTTCTGACAACACTGATCAATGTATAAAATTTGAGACAACAAAAACAGAGTCATAACTTACTGCAACACTCGGCTGGATAAGATCGATGACCATGTGATCTAGATAAGACACATGATTGGCTACAACTATTTTTGGTTTAATTTTGTTGGGGTGTTTGTTGCGTTTATCCTCCTGAACCATAACTTGAATACCCACAACTCCAAACAGTGATTTCAGGATAAAGCTATTGAATTTTAAAAAAATGAGAAAAGAAATCTGCATCATATTGAAATATTTGACATGCAAACCATATATATTCAACATTAAGTCTGGTAGGAAACCCTGCCACTGGTTTATTGGCCTGTATTAACCCCATCATGATTTAGATTCAGATAGTGTGTTGGTTTCCTAAGCTTTCTGCAGGATAGATATGGGTTGACTGTTACTGTTGGAATTTTTATTCATGATCCTGGATAAGTACATCAACAGCATTATGACATAATACATCGTAATTTCGAAAACATCTGGCAAATAAACATTTTATTTGGATTAATTTTCAGATCACAAATGTATGGATCAAATACTAAAGAGTATTACATCTATTTGTCACAGAATAAACACATCAATATTACAAGTGCTACAAGATCGCAAGACTTAACTTTTATAAAACATTAAAGTTATCTAATTAAGCACAGATAAATATTGAAAATTTTTAGGTCACCCCTATCTCTTTAACACTTAATGTTTAAGTCTGTTCTCTGTGACTTACCTTGTAGCTTGACACTTGGGTAGGATACAAGACACCAGTAAGGCATGCATCATGATGAATATTCGAATGATTACCAGTGCCAACCCAAATGGAAAGAAGACTGTAGTTAGCACCACAGAACTTCCATCAGGAAATCTATGAAAAAATGAATAATTTTCATAACATAATTGAAAGCACAGGCCCTTAAGACATGCTTTGTCCTTTGCATCTGAATACAGAGCATTGTTCCGTGGGTTTACAATGATGAAGCATAGGATAAAGCTTAACATCATGCTTTAATAAATACACATACCCAGTAATGTAAAATCAAAATGTTCAAACCACAATTGTGAAATGAGGAGTAATATATTGACCTATATTTATCATAAAGGTACTAAAGCTATGATTGTCATCTACTGTCAAAGTAATGGATTTGAACCAAGTGTTAGTCAGATCAGACACAATTACAATTACATAACATGATTTTATCTGATAAACTGAGAGAAACAGTACATGAAAAGTCTATAATCCTTCATGGACAGACAAATCTTTGAGTGCTCATGATACATTGTTAAGTAAGGCTTTACATTCATCTTGTCATGAAATATCATGCTGACCTAGATCTGGAATAGCATTTTAGCATATTATAATAAGACATTACATAATATAACATAATTTTTCATACATAGGTATATTTTTGACAGATAGATTATGCAATAAGAAATCTAGTGATCAGATTGTTTGTACTTGAACGACTCAATATAAACCACCTTTCTATATGTAATTGTGCTACCTAGCTACCAACCATGATCAGACTTGACAAGTTTTCCTACAACACTCCCTCCTTCAACAAAATCTTCCAACTAAAGTACATAAAGACCTCACACCATCTGGTCTGATCGATTGAATTACAGTTTTCATTTGAGTTGCCAATTAATTACTGAAAGCAGTAACTGTCCCTCAAATGCAGGACCATTATGAATACACATTTAAGGCGATTTAGGGTGCACTGACAGAGGAGGGCGGTACACGTGATCTGACAGAGGCTACTGTTGGTCCCACATGCTAGTGGCCAAGTCATGTTCTGCTTCAATATATGGTAACATACCTGCATTTTAATTTTACAAAAAGTCGATAAATATATTAACATGTTCAGCTGTAAACATAAGACATTTCAGAAACATGTTCTTGAAAAAGAGATTACTTATTAACCTTGAAAATAATTGCCACGGAAAAAAACTTAATAGTAGTATTTCATAACAAAGTAATATGCAATATAACTTGTATAACTAAATAAACACCAACATGGTAGAATCATTCTGAGCAGAATAGGTCTGTTCTGTCAAAGGCTTGCAACGTTTTACAGGACTAATTTTCAACTTTTCATTCAACATTTAGACTAATATTTAAGTTTCATTACCTGGTATGGTCGAATAGTCTTCTTATATGCATTATTGATTAAAAAAAACAAAACAGACTAAAAAAGAAAAGGGGAAATACTCGAAGAAAAAACAGTCATCAGACACTCGGAAACATTTTGCTGGATGCGTCCATTTTGAAAAATGCATGATGGGAATTCCACGTGAGATTTCCGGTTTTGATTTGCACAAAACAAGTTGTGAATACCACAGGAACAAAGATAAACAGTTGTTCTATTTTGAATGTAACTGTTATATGCAGTCGTTGTTAACTGGAAAAATGAACCAGTAGTATCTCTTTTTGTGATATCCTTGTGTGACACACAATATTTTGTTGATAGGACAGTTTGTAGTTAACAAGATGCCATCCTGTACTGTATGTGGAGAAAACGAATTTGAAGCCAGAGATGGCCTGTTTTTTTGTTCCATGTGCATGACACAGTCACAGGTCAGTGAGATAAACTTATCGAAAACCAACACGACCTCCTTCAAGTCTCAACTACCGTTAGACACATTTTTGAACAAGTGTGATTTTAAGAAGGATAAAATACTAATATGTCGCTGGTCTAGTGTTGAATCATAACTTCTCTTTTCAGTGGATAGCACCATGCATAGAAAAACGATAAATTGTCCATAGTAGCACTATCAAATCAGGTATTAATGCTTCAGTCTGAAACGACTTGATAGGGTATACACTTTACATAGTACTTTTCTCTGCATATTATATTTTTGGAGGGATGAACATAAAAAATGGGTAATCTACCTTTTCTTTTGCATCTAGATGTATAGTTCTATCAAAGTGATATTATTGTCGGGCGACTACATTGAGGTTAACACAAATAAAGGTCTAATGGTAAATACTGTTTTTGTTTTAATTGAAGGACATGAGACAGGAGGAGGCTGCCGAATTTATCATGGATGTGTCAAATCCTGGATTCAAGCATTTGATAAAGAGCAAAGAGCATCAAAAGAAAGGAGACAAGGGAACCAAACGTTAGTAACTGCATGTACCACAGCAATGAAAGATTTTACTAATGTATTGTGGCAGAATAGGATTTTGATGTTTAGGAATGACAGCAATTTTGAAACATATTAAGTTTATAATACATAGATGTAAAGTCATTGCCAGGATACTTTTAGAGCTGCTTGTGCAGCACAGAGTTAACAAAGAGAGTGAAATCTTTTTGCTTAAAATGTACGTTTAACTCTTTTTATCATCTTGTTTGATTTCAGCCATCTTTATAAAGCAGAGTTAGTTGCTTACTGAGAAAACATTCAAACAAAATAGGAAGGGATAATGAAAATTTTCTGACCCTGGGTACCGGTAACTACCAACCTTTGTTTTCAGTATAAACTGTATGTTTGTTGAAAAGAGGATACATGTCATCACATTGAAAAGTCTACTGTTTTGTTCTGTAGGAGATAAGGGGCGTCCATGGAGCTGCTATGAAGGGTTTCAGATCATTTTAAAGGAGCAAGTAAAAGCATTAATAAGGCTAGGAGCAGATCCAAAACTTAAGGTATAAGAAATAGACATTGAAATTGATATTTCACTTTTTATATTGTTAGTTAATTATCTATTCTTTGTGAGAACCAGAAAATACTCAGTCCAGATTCATATCCAGCCTGACCAGATGATTATCTTTGTTTAACTTAGACTATGTCACATGACCAGATGATTATCTTTGTTTAACTTAGACTATGTCACATGACCAGATGATTATCTTTGTTTAACTTAGACTATGTCACATGACCAGATGATTATCTTTGTTCAACTTAGACTATGTCACATGACCAGATAATTATCTTTGTTTAACTTAGACTATGTCACATGACCAGATGATTATCTTTGTTCAACTTAGACTATGTCACATGACCAGATGATTATCTTTGTTCAACTTAGACTATGTCACATGTAGTGTCTACATCAATAGCTAACCATAACTCTGTTGGCCACAGAATATCCAATTTAGACACTTTTTACTCTATCTTCATATTTCGTTGAATTATATACTTACAAATTCTGTTCATACATAAAAATAAGTTGCTTATTACTGACCTCCTGTGGGAGTAACACATTTTGATGGTATACATTCCCTGGCCATCTCCGCTGCTCACTTATGATGTAATAATGGTGGTCATGCAAGTAATATTATTCCTGTCTGAAATATTCAACCTTTATCTAACAGATTTATGTGAGTGTAATGTCCTGCAAATTTAAATATAAGTCATTTACGTCTTTCTTCTTAAATTGATAATTTGTTAATGATAATTGAGTAAAATTCTTAACAAAAAAAAATAGATACCAGTAGTTAAAAGTTAGTGAATAGAAAACCATAGTTACATGTTTGAAATTGATCCTTTTGCCTTCAGTATATGATGAAATCAATCTACATCCTGTCAGTGAGGTATAATCAATTCATTTTATTTACCATGTATTTTTATTCACCTGTCAACAATTTTGACGGGGCATTTAGTATTTAATCTTGTCTGGATATCTCCTTCAGTTTTTAACTAATTTCTTTGAAACTTTGTAGATTTAGATTCAACACTATTTCAACTGATTAATTTTTTTCAGCATTTTAACATTCTTTTAAAGTATGATATGCTTAGATTAATTATTAAAATAGATAACTTTGTTTTTTCCTTTGTATTCATGTCAGCATAAGTTCTAAATATTTCTGTGGCATGTGATGGGCACATATTGTTGTGCTCTGTGGTTCTCATGTTTGCAGATTGATAGTAAATAGCATTGCTTGCCATTGACAGGATGTTGTGTTCCGACTTTGGTGTAAATATCTAGCCAAAATCAAGGTAGCCTTCACTGAAGACTTGGAAAAGGTTGACCCTTTGTTAAAGAAGTTTGAGCGACACAGGTAATGAAAAGGTCTTACATTTTGTATTTGTGTAGTCTGCAGTTTTGGATTCTAGTTCCCTATAGTGAATTTAACAATCTCCGGATAAATTTTTGGCCCCAAACTGGATTTTTAGGTGAGCTGATCCGGAGGGTCAGTATGACTTATATCCATTGTTTTACTTGATACAATTGCCCAATCAGAGTAAAAAACACATTTTAAACTTCTTGACACTGATGCTAATAAAGGTTCATGTCACTGATGTTGATAAAGTTTCATGTCACTGATGTTGATAAAGGTTCATGTCACTGATGTTGTTAAAAGTTCATGTCACTGATGTTGATAAAGGTTCATGTCACTGATGTTCATGTCACTGATGTTGATAAAGGTTCATGTCACTGATGTTGATAAAGGTTCATGTCACTGATGTTCATGTCACTGATGTTGATAAAGGTTCATGTCACTGATGTTCATGTCACTGATGTTGATCAAGGTTCATGTCACTGATGTTGATAAAGGGTCATGTCACTGATGTTGATAAAGGTACATGTCACTGATGTTCATGTCACTGATGTTGATAAAGGTTCATGTCACTGATGTTCATGTCACTGATGTTGATAAAGGTTCATGTCACTGATGTTGATAAAGGGTCATGTCACTGATGTTGATAAAGGTTCATGTCACTGATGTTCATGTTACTGATGTTCATGTCACTGATGTTCATGTTACTGATGTTGATAAAGGTTCATGTCACTGATGTTCATGTTACTGATGTTCATGTCACTGATGTTCATGTTACTGATGTTCATGTTACTGATGTTCATGTTACTGATGTTGATAAAGGTTCATGTCACTGATGTTCATGTTACTGATGTTCATGTTACTGATGTTCATGTTACTGATGTTGATAAAGGTTCATGTCACTGATGTTCATGTTACTGATGTTGATAAAGGTTCATGTCACTGATGTTTATAAAGGTTCATGTCACTGATGTTGATGATTCAACTTGGATTTCTTCTATCTTTAGAGAGAAGTATCCTGGAACCACAGATGACCCTGACATAAAACCAGTAAAGTTACACAAAATATGGAAGAAAAAGTCTACTGTAGCTGATGCTACAACCAATATTGTATGTAACTTGTTCTTTTTATTTGCTGATAAAACTCTCTTTAATTTGGTGATATCCTGTAGTTTCAATAGTGTCTTAAGTATAGATAAATATGGGTTATCACACTAATAGGGTCTTACAGGTACTGTATTTTAAACTGAGTCACCACTCTTATATGGTCTTATATATATATAAAACTGGGTCATCACTCTAATTGGATCTTATGTATATAAAACTGGTCATCAATCTAATAGGGTCTTATATATATAAAACTGGGTCATCACTCTGATAGTGTCTTATATGTATAAAACTGGGTCATCACTCTGATAGTGTCTTATATGTATAAAACTGGGTCATCACTCTGATAGTGTCTTATATATATAAAACTTGGTCATTATTCTAATAGGGTCTTATGTATATAAAGCTGGGTTGTCACTCTGATATGGTCTTATGTATATAAAACTGGGTCATCACTCTAATTTGATCTCAATTGGTTTTTCGAGATAACTAAGGTAGTGTCAATTTCATTATTATGATCATTCCAGATAGACAAAGAGGCATTGAACGATACAGTTCCAACATAATACAAAAATTATGGCTATATTAAATAGAGCACCAGCCTTTTCAAACTCAGGTGAATGTAGAAGGTGTGTGGTTTGATGCCTTCTGAGAGTGGTTTGTCTTAGGAAGTTGACATCATGATTTGTATGATATAGTGTTGTCTGTGTTGAAGTACACTTCAGTGACCACATAAATCATATTTTATTTTTCTGATTTACAGGAGAATCAAGAACTGCAGTTTTCTTTACGAGATGAAGATTTTTATGATGAAGACAACCCATTCCAATGTGTCACTGATAACCATGACTTGGATGATGAATATGATACTGACTCTGATGACAACATTGAATGTGAACAGGATGGTCAAACCTCTTCATCCTTGGTATGTGCATGTTAAAAAAAAGAAAATCTGAATGTTTTGATGACTAAACATAATGATACTGAAGTATTCTAACAAATTAATGAAATATGAATATGATAATTTCAGCGGCAAACCAAATCTATTGAGCTTATGCCTTGGCACAATGTCCGTCTGTCGTCCAGCGTCAACTTTGTCCTTTAAACAACTTCTTCTTAATAACTTATGAACCAAATGTTCTGATATTTGGCTGGTATGTTTCTATTATGAAGCTCGACAAAGTTGCAAAAATAAATTACCTAGACTTATGTTCAAGGTCACAGAGGTCAAATTTGTTAAAATCATTAAACAGCTTCTTTTCATGGATGAAAATGCTTAGCGGCATGGTATTTGGTTGGTACGTTGCTAGGATAAAGCCCAAAAAATTTTGTGTAAAGAAATGACCTTGAGTTATATTCAATATCACAGGGATTAAATTTGTTATATTATTTAAATGATTTCTTCTCACGAAATTAAATGCCTAGAAGCTTAATATTTGGCTGAATTGTTCTTAGGATGAAGCCTGACAAAGCTTGGGAAAACAAATGACTTATATTCAAGGTTACAGGGGTCAAATTTATTAAAACCTTTAAATAATTTTCATGAACTAAAAGGTGAGCACTGCAGGCCCATTAGGCCTCTTGTTCTGTATTACTATTTGAAAGCATCGTTGTGTTGAAATCTCATTATGTCATTGGTAGATATCTGTGACATCACAGTCTGGGACACCCAGGTTTTAAGCTTTCTGATTGGTTATTATGTCCTGCAGTTGTGTATTCTGTATTTGCAGTAGCTCAAGTCATTAGTATTATGGCTATTCCAGTAAAACATCTACTTGACCCCAGAACTCCAAAATGAATCACTTCTATTTGTGGTTTTGTGTCCTGCCTATTACTCTAAGCAAATTCTCTCTCAAATTCTATGGATGGTACTCTAAACAAACTTTGGGGTTCTGGGGTGGGGTAGATGTTTATTTAGGAATAGTCCTCAGATATGAATAGAAACAGACAATTTGATGTTACATTTGCTTATACTTCAATGGTGAATATATGATGTCAATAACTGTGACATTTACTGCTGACTATTTTTTTGAAATACTAAAATTTTAAAATTCTGATAAACCATGCATTCCTTAATCAAACTTTGTCTCTAACATCTCTGATACCTTGACTCCAATGCATTTAATCCCTATAGAGGAAGTTTTAGAGAGTGTCAGAGATGTTAAATTACCAAGGTACATACACCATTTATCACTGCTTAGTGTAGCTAATTAGCACTTTGATCTCTATAGAGGAAGCTTTAGAGAGTGTTAGAGATGTTAGAGTATGAAGTAACATTACATCTAGTGTAGCTGACTAGTGTTTTAATGAAAGCATAGATTTCTGAATTCTATTTTTTTTTTACCAGAACTTATTAGTCTCTTTGTACTTTCAGACAAGACGGTCTTATGCGCAACATGCAGGTTTCATGAACGTGAAGAAGACGTTGGTATTCTGTTATATTGGTCTTTTGTACACCAATCCCGTCACCACTGCAGTGGATATTGTCAGGTCAGATTGTTGTCCACCACATTGTAACTATAATAACAAGGAGCTTCTTTTTTTTTCCAATTTTTGAAATATCTCTGCACTGTTCAAAAACTAAAATCAGTGGAACTAGAAAACTTTCCTAAAAAAGCCCCAAAAAGGGACCATTGATCTGCTAAAAAAGGGACAATTGATCTGCTAAAAAAGGGACCATTGATCTGCCAAAAAAGGGACCATTGATCTGCCAAAAAAGGGACCATTGATCTGCCAAAAAAGGGACCATTGATCTGCTAAAAAAGGGACCATTGATCTGCCAAAAAAGGGACCATTGATCTGCTAAAAAAGGGACTATTGATCTGCCAAAAAAGGGACCATTGATCTGCCAAAAAAGGGACCATTGATCTGCCAAAACTCTTAAAATCACATCTGATGCCATGAACTAAGCTTACAGTAACTTTTTCTTTATTACAGATGGGTACATCAGAAGGACCTACCATATGAGAAGGCATCTAAACTCCTTCCTGAGGATATGAAGTTTGGGCCCTATGACAGCAACACATTTCATGCGGTAAATATACTGATGACAGCAACACATTTCATGCGGTAAATATATTGATGACAGCAACACATATTATGTGGTAAATATACTGATGACAGCAACACATTTTATGTGGTAGATATACTGATGACAGCAACACATTTTATGTGGTAAATATACTGATGACAACAACACATTTCATGCGGTAAATATACTGATGACAACAAAACATTTTATGTGGTAGATATACCGATGACAGCATCACATTTTATGTGGTAAATGTACTGATGACAACAACACATTTTATGTGGTAGATATACTGATGACAGCAACAGGTGGGAAATGTTTTTTTTTTTTCCTCATTGGTCAGATGTGTGCCAGTGTCAGTTATGTGTGAACGAGAATAAAAGGAATGGAGAGAATAGAATTTTATGCATTTTACACACTCAGAGAAATATTATGATGGGATTATAGGAACTTTGTTACCATTTAATGGCCAGTTAATATCTAACAGTACAGACTCCGCTGGAGAGTTGTTTATAGTAAAATGTTCTACCGTACATAATGTTAGGCCTTATACTACACGTAGACAATATCTGAAGGCCTCAAACAAATTCAATATTTGATGTAATTTGAATAAACAGAATGATTTTGTAGAAAATTCAATAAGATAAAGAATAATTCATATATAATTCAATTGCAAACTTTATTGAATTTTTCACTGATGATCTGGATAAATTGCCTGCCGTTGTCTCTTGTATATACAACCTTAGGTCAACAATAAAAAATTGAATGTGGCTTCTATTCAGACGTGGCTAATATATGGATCAAATAAGAAAAAATATTAATAAAAATTGCACATGGCCTATGTATCGGTGCAATTTGTAACCAGGAAAATACAGTAATGTGAATTACTGGAGATATTACATCTGGTCTAAAGCAGCGTGGATGCTTGGTCTATGTTTGACTGCCAGTAAGGAAACCAAATTGTTTCTTACCTCTTCTTTTCATTCCAAGAAATTAATGCTATCAATTTTTTGTATGCTAACAACAAAGTCTGCGAGTACAGATTAATCAAGTGTACTTTTTTCTGTACTTCATGAAAGTGATCTGGTTCCTTGTTTCTTTCCAAGTTTTCTTGAATTTAATTGAATTGAATTTTCTGATGTAGCCTTTACCTGTATATGAAGAGATGCTGAGAAAGGACGCTGGTCAAATGATCAAATATCTTGACCTCCAGGATGTTCCCACGACCCCGATCAGAGACCTCATTAATAAGTATGTGGTCGCCCTCGAGTTGCCAGGTAGGTCCCTCATAGTATTACTATAGTGTTATAATAGAGTAAATGTGGTGCAGGTCAGTGTGGGATGTACATAATCTTATTTATGGTCTGTGTCACTTATTTGATGGAGAAGCTATTTTATTCTCTCCAGAAATTTTCAGAAGGGAGCATATATTCATTGCCTTGTCCATTCTGCCTTTTGTGTCTGGAGCATAACTTGTCCAGCACATAGATTTGTTTGCATTGAAACTAGGATAATGAATCTTGGTGTACACATTAGTCATGCTATGATGATGATGTGCAGTGTATTAATTTCAGGCCCTGCAAACTTTAATTAGTGAGTTATTGCCCTTTGTTAAAATTTAGTGTCTAGATCACAACATTTAATTGCTTACATTGAAACAAGGATAAAGAAACTTGGTGGATACATTGATCATACTAAGACAATATGCAGTGTACCAAATCCAGGGCTCTCGACTGCTTAAATACAGAGATATTGTCCTTTGTTAAGAATTTCATGTCTGGAGCATAACTTTGACCATAGTTTAGCAATGGTCATGAGACCTAATTTATACATTTATCATACTAAAGCAATGTGCTGTGTAACAAATTCATGGCCCATGACCCCTAGATTATAGAGTTATCAAAATTTGTTAAAAATATCTTGTCTAGAGCATAGCTTTGCTTGTTTTTAATCTAGGATCATGAAACTTGTTGTATATATTGATCATTGACCGTGGGCAGTGTACCAATTTCAGGGCCTTCAACCCCTTAATTACAGAGTTATTGCCCTTCGTTAAAATTTTGTGTCCATGGCATCTATTTGCTTGAATTAAAACCAGGATCATGAAACTTGGTGTAGGTCATACTAAGAAAATATGCAGTATACTAAATTTAGGGCTTGCAATCTCAGTTGGTAGAGCTGTTGGTTATCATGCAAGTGTCCTGGGTTCGATTCTGTTCAAAGTAAATTAACAAGTTGTTAAATTTGGATATGTAAATCTGAAAGTCAGAAACGTTATCCTGTTCATCACTGATGCTTTAACTTTAAATAATTCTCCATGACATCATTTACTTGCAACAATGAAGAATGTAAAATAAGCATTTGCATTGCATTTGATTTGAGTGGTTTTTTTATGAAGTTTACATATCAGATTAATTTGAACATTTTTACAGAATTCTGTATAATACACATTCTAAAGGTTCTCAGCATTTTCCATTGTTTTGTATGAAACTGGTGCCTATACACGTATATTTGTAGGTGATCTTCACGGGTTTGTACACAAGATTCATGATCTTACAGAGTACAAGAAACGTTATAAGAATGTAACTCTGCGTAGTTATGACAGTGTAGCCATGGCATTTATAATCATCACTGTGGAGACTCTGATGGGCCTGGATGGCTCCACAGAAAGGTACACATTGTATATCATAACATTATATCTTATCTTTAATATGAAAAAAAAAAAATCAGATATGCAGTGCCAAGTGCATGCATATAGATATTTTTGTCATTTTCCTTGCTTCAGTCATTGACCATGACTAGTGATTTCATTAACAGACATCTTGTACATATATCTGTTTATTTTAGGCTTATGATACCCACGCATCTAGTTTTTATATACCTTGTATTTCATTGTGATATTTAAACATCTGAGATAAAAACCTAACATAATAGTTCTTTTGTTTAGGAAGTTGTCAAAGATTTCAAAGAAGATGGAAGCCTTGCTTCCAGGAGGTATGTGATTCTACTTTGTTATGTAAGATGGTTGATGAAAAATTCTGATTTTAGTTTGTTGCCTGCTGCTCAAAATCTTAGATTTCTGCAAACATCAAATCTTGGCCTACAAAATATTAGCGTGTAAAAGAAAATGTGAATTGTGAAATTTGACCTTGCCTTAGAAATATAAACTTAAGGTCAGGCACCATTGCACTGAGTGTGTAAATATCATGAGTTTTACTACAGAAAGTGTTGTCATTGACTGTTTCTGTGTTGTATGGTGGCTGTTTGTCTGGTATGAATGATGGCATTTAATATTACAGAAAGAATTGTCATTGACTGTTTCTACTTTGTAGTGCGACTGTTTGTCTGGGATGATTGGGTTTGCCATCATGACAAAAAACAGAAACTGACCTTGACTCGTCTAATGACAAACGCCTTGTGAGTATTCCAATATACATGAAAAAGGCTTCATCAGATAATGAAACTTGTTTGGTTTATTTATAGAGTTCATCGTGCCGTGAACCCAGCTTGTCTCTTATCAACATAATCCATTAAACTGTGGATATTTTACACAAGTCATCAACTTTTCTTATCTTTCAGTGATATGCGGGTCCTTGATAATGTTGATCAAATTACTACATCATTCAGACATGCTAGGAGACGAGTTGGACGACACACAGACAAACAAACTTGTAAGTGGTCTAACATCTGTGCTAATTTTGGAACTTTTGTTTTCCTGAATCTTACATTCATAACATTTTTCACAGTTTTACATTCTTTCTACTTGATGATCAAATAATGTGTTTGCACATGACTTCTTGAATAGGATTATCACCTATGACATGAAAATCAGCACTCATGATCCTTAAATCAGTCACGCATGATCCTTGACTCAGTCACTCATGATCCTTGACTCAGTCACTCATGATCCTGAACTCAGCAACTCATGATCCTTGACTCAGTAAACCATGATCCTTGACTCGGCCACTCATGATCCTTAACTCTGCCACTCTTGATCCATAACACAGTCACTCATGTTCCTTAACACAGTCACTCATGTTCCATAACAATCACTCATGTTCCATAACACAGTCACTCATGTTCCATAACACAGTCACTCATGTTCCATAACACTGTCACTCATGTTCCATAACACAGTCACTCATGTTCCATAACACAGTCACTCATGTTCCATAACACAGTCACTCATGTTCCATAACACAGTCACTCATGTTCCATAACACAGTCACTCATGTTCCATAACACAGTCACTCATGTTCCATAACAGTCACTCATGTTCCATAACACAGTCACTCATGTTCCATAACAGTCACTCATGTTCCATAACACTGTCACTCATGTTCCATAACACAGTCACTCATGTTCCATAACACAGTCACTCATGTTCCATAACACAGTCACTCATGTTCCATAACACAGTCACTCATGTTCCATAACACAGTCACTCATGTTCCATAACACAGTCACTCATGTTCCATAACACAGTCACTCATGTTCCATAACACAGTCACTCATGTTCCATAACACAGTCACTCATGTTCCATAACACAGTCACTCATGTTCCATAACACAGTCACTCATGTTCCATAACACAGTCACTCATGTTCCATAACACAGTCACTCATGTTCCATAACACTGTCACTCATGTTCCATAACACAGTCACTCATGTTCCATAACACAGTCACTCATGTTCCATAACAGTCACTCATGTTCCATAACACAGTCACTCATGTTCCATAACACAGTCACTCATGTTCCATAACAGTCACTCATGTTCCATAACACAGTCACTCATGTTCCATAACACAGTCACTCATGTTCCATAACACAGTCACTCATGTTCCATAACAGTCACTCATGTTCCATAACACAGTCACTCATGTTCCATAACACTGTCACTCATGTTCCATAACACAGTCACTCATGTTCCATAACACTGTCACTCATGTTCCATAACACAGTCACTCATGTTCCATAACACAGTCACTCATGTTCCATAACACAGTCACTCATGTTCCATAACACAGTCACTCATGTTCCATAACACAGTCACTCATGTTCCATAACACAGTCACTCATGTTCCATAACACAGTCACTCATGTTCCATAACACTGTCACTCATGTTCCATAACACAGTCACTCATGTTCCATAACACAGTCACTCATGATCCTTTACTCAGTCAGCAATCATCCATAACCCTTTTTCAGTGTTCCATAAATTTTTTTGTCAGTCATCCAAGACTATGTTAACAATTTGTTGTATGGTTTTTGTAGTAAAGAAGTTCCAGGAAAGCTCTCAGAGTGCATTACTTCTGCCATTGAAGAAGTTATCAGAGGTTGAAGAGTCAGCTTTATCTGTGAGGGATGCTGCTAATCAGGAGAAAGACAATACTGAGACTGGAGGATCATCTTCTCATGAATCAACGGATCAGACATCAGAATTAAGATCAGATGACAACAGGAACTACAGGACTTGCAGACTGAAACACATCACACAGCCAGAACACTTTTTAGACCTCCTAAAGCAGGAGTTGTGTGAGAGTAGACATTATACTACTGTAAATACTGCCAGGGAAGACCGTTTTGGAAACAATTCTGTGGAAGACACAAGTGCAAATGATACAGTGGAAGGGACATTGGGAAATGTTACAGTTGTACATTCTACTAATCACACTAAAACAGTAGGGGATTCTAGTGAAGGAATATTTGGTGATGGTGAAGAGATATTAAATGTTAAGGATCAAGAACAGTATAATATAATGATACAGAAATTGGTAATGATATTAAGCGAGAGACAGTTAGACAAGAACTTTGGGAAGAAATCCATGTTGACTAGCAACTGTAGTTACAGATGGCTAGTCCACAAGTGTGCTTTACTTATAGAAACCTCAGACACAGAACTCAACAGGCATGTCAATCAAATCCAGAACATTTTACTCAAGTTCTTTGTTCCAAGCCAGAGGTCACAATTGAAGTATTTCAATGAACGCTTTGTAGGGTTTCTTTACCATATGGTACGTAAAAGTAAATTATGTGATGAATGAGGAAAATTGATGTTTTGATTTATTTTGTACAATGCATTATCAGTTTTTCTGATAGAGTTTTTGATGAATCATTATATTGCCTTAAAGGATGCAAAGGGATGGGCCACACCAGTAATAAAACATATAGTACACCTTTCGCTGTGTCATATCTGGCTACAGTGAGATGGGGAGTCTTTGAATGCCGTAGTGTTCTATCACACTGAATTATATCTGGTTACATTGACATGGGGAGTCTTTGAATGCCCGGTATTATATCTGGCTACATTGACATGGGGAGTCTTTGAATGCCCGGTATTATATCTGGCTACATTGACATGGGGAGTCTTTGAATGCCGTAGTGTTCTATCACACTGTATTATATCTGGCTACAGTGACATGGGGAGTCTTTGAATGCCCTAGTGTTCTATCACACGGTATTATATCTGGCTGCATTGACATGGGGAGTCTTTGAATGCCGTAGTGTTCTATCACACTGTATTATATCTGGCTACAGTGACATGGGGAGTCTTTGAATGCCCGGTATTATATCTGGCTACATTGACATGGGGAGTCTTTGAATGCCGTAGTGTTCTATCACACTGTATTATATCTGGCTACAGTGACATGGGGAGTCTTTGAATGCCCGGTATTATATCTGGCTACATTGACATGGGGAGTCTTTGAATGCCGTAGTGTTCTATCACACTGTATTATATCTGGCTACAGTGACATGGGGAGTCTTTGAATGCCCGGTATTATATCTGGCTACATTGACATGGGGAGTCTTTGAATGCCGTAGTGTTCTATCACACTGTATTATATCTGGCTACATTGACATGGGGAGTCTTTGAATGCCCTAGTGTTCTATCACACTGTATTATATCTGGCTACATTGACATGGAGAGTCTTTGAATGCCCGGTATTATATCTGGCTACATTGACATGGGGAGTCTTTGAATGCCGTAGTGTTCTATCACACTGTATTATATCTGGCTACATTGACATGGGGAGTCTTTGAATGCCCGGTATTATATCTGGCTACATTGACATGGGGAGTCTTTGAATGCCGTAGTGTTCTATCACACTGTATTATATCTGGCTACATTGACATGGGGAGTCTTTGAATGCCCTAGTGTTCTATCACACTGTATTATATCTGGCTGCATTGACATGGAGAGTCTTTGAATGCCGTAGTGTTCTATCACACTGTATTATATCTGGCTACAGTGACATGGGGAGTCTTTGAATGCCCGGTATTATATCTGGCTACATTGACATGGGGAGTCTTTGAATGCCGTAGTGTTCTATCACACTGTATTATATCTGGCTACATTGACATGGGGAGTCTTTGAATGCCCTTGTGTTCTATCACACCGTATTATATCTGGCTGCATTGACATGGGGAGTCTTTGAATGCCGTAGTGTTCTATCACACTGTATTATATCTGGCTACAGTGACATGGGGAGTCTTTGAATGCCCGGTATTATATCTGGCTACATTGACATGGGGAGTCTTTGAATGCCGTAGTGTTCTATCACACTGTATTATATCTGGCTACAGTGACATGGGGAGTCTTTGAATGCCCTAGTGTTCTATCACACTGTATTATATCTGGCTACATTGACATGGGGAGTCTTTGAATGCCCTAGTGTTCTATCACACTGTATTATATCTGGCTACAGTGACATGGGGAGTCTATGAATATATATTGAATTGTTATCTAGTATTAACTCATCCAGAAAATACTTTACCATTTATTTACATTTGTCTGAAGAACTTTAAATTAGTTGAGATGGCTTTTAGCGTAAAAAGTTGGCAGGGATGAAAGCCTATAAAAATATCAAAAGGCCACATTCAATGTCAAATGGACAAATTTTGCAAATTTCTCCTGAGAATCGCCTGTCTTGAAATATCAGAATTTTTATATTTTTCTTATCATAATGAATGGACATAGTTTCAAGGACAGAATAAATTTGTCTTGATGCCGAAAGAAAAAGTGATCATTAAAGCATCAAACAGTACCAAATATATTTTCCCAACACCGTTGAAACCCTTACGTGGTGGATGTTTTGTTATTTCAGTCAAAATTTGAGTAAGAAAACAGAATGTGTTGTACTTTATAGAGGCATGATCTTCACATTAGTGGATCTCATTTAGAAAGATAAACCCATTAGACTTGAAAAATAAATCTGGTTTCAGTTTCTTCTTGAAAATAATAGGGCAGATAGATGGGGTATTATTTGTTAACTTGCTTTTGATGCTTACTTTTACGTGCTGCATGTTGATTAGGGAATGGTTAACACCCATGTGTCAGGTGATAAGGGAAAGGATATCACCCATATGTCAGGTATGTTTAAGTGTAGCAGGGAATGGTTAACACCCATGTGTCAGGTATGTTTAAGTGTCGCGGGGAATGGTTAACACCCATGTGTGAGGTATGTTTAAGTGTTGCGGGGAATGGTTAACACCCATGTGTCAGGTATGTTTAAGTGTCGTGGGGAATGGTTAACACCCATGTGTCAGGTGATTAATGGTTAACACCCATGTGTTAACACCCATGTGTCAGGTATGTTTAAGTGTTGCGGGGAATGGTTAACACCCATGTGTCAGGTATGTTTAAGTGTTGCGGGGAATGGTTAACACCCATGTGTCAGGTATGTTTAAGTGTTGCGGGGAATGGTTAACACCCATGTGTCAGGTATGTTTAAGTGTTGCGGGGAATGGTTAACACCCATGTGTCAGGTATGTTTAAGTGTCGCGGGGAATGGTTAACACCCATGTGTCAGGTATGTTTAAGTGTTGCGGGGAATGGTTAACACCCATGTGTCAGGTGATTAGGGAATGGTTAACACCCATGTGTCAGGTATGTTTAAGTGTTGCGGGGAATGGTTAACACCGATGTGTCAGGTATGTTTAAGTGTTGCGGGGAATGGTTAACACCCATGTGTCAGGTATGTTTAAGTGTCGCGGGGAATGGTTAACACCCATGTGTCAGGTATGTTTAAGTGTTGCGGGGAATGGTTAACACCCATGTGTCAGGTATGTTTAAGTGTTGCAGGGAATGGTTAACGCCCATGTGTCAGGTGATTAGGGAATGGTTAACACCCATGTGTGAGGTATGTTTAAGTGTCGCCACCCATGTGTCAGGTGTTTAGTGTTGAATGGTTAACACCCATGTGTCAGGTATGTTTAAGTGTTGCGGGGAATGGTTAACACCCATGTGTCAGGTATGTTTAAGTGTCGCGGGGAATGGTTAACACCCATGTGTCAGGTATGTTTAAGTGTCGCGGGGAATGGTTAACACCCATGTGTCAGGTATGTTTAAGTGTCGCGGGGAATGGTTAACACCCATGTGTCAGGTATGTTTAAGTGTCGCGGGGAATGGTTAACACCCATGTGTCAGGTATGTTTAAGTGTTGCAGGGAATGGTTAACGCCCATGTGTCAGGTGATTAGGGAATGGTTAACACCCATGTGTCAGGTATGTTTAAGTGTCGCGGGGAATGGTTAACACCCATGTGTCAGGTATGTTTAAGTGTTGCGGGGAATGGTTAACACCCATGTGTCAGGTATGTTTAAGTGTTGCGGGGAATGGTTAACACCCATGTGTCAGGTATGTTTAAGTGTTGCAGGGAATGGTTAACGCCCATGTGTCAGGTGATTAGGGAATGGTTAACACCCATGTGTCAGGTATGTTTAAGTGTCGTGTGGAATGGTTAACACCCATGTGTGAGGTATGTTTAAGTGTTGCGGGGAATGGTTAACACCCATGTGTCAGGTATGTTTAAGTGTTGCAGGGAATGGTTAACACCCATGTGTCAGGTGATTAGGGAATGGTTAACACCCATGTGTGAGGTATGTTTAAGTGTCGCGGGGAATGGTTAACACCCATGTGTCAGGTATGTTTAAGTGTTGCGGGGAATGGTTAACACCCATGTGTCAGGTATGTTTAAGTGTTGCGGGGAATGGTTAACACCCATGTTTCAGGTATGGTTAACACCCATGTGTCAGGTGATTAGGGAATGGTTAACACCCATGTGTGAGGTATGTTTAAGTGTTGCGGGGAATGGTTAACACCCATGTGTCAGGTATGTTTAAGTGTTTCGGGGAATGGTTAACACCCATGTGTCAGGTATGTTTAAGTGTCGCGAGGAATGGTTAACACCCATGTGTCAGGTATGTTTAAGTGTCGCGGGGAATGGTTAACACCCATGTGTCAGGTATGTTTAAGTGTTGCAGGGAATGGTTAACACCCATGTGTCAGGTATGTTTAAGTGTCGCGGGGAATGGTTAACACCCATGTGTGAGGTATGTTTAAGTGTCGCTGGGAATGGTTAACACCCATGTGTCAGGTATGTTTAAGTGTAGCGGGGAATGGTTAACACCCATATGTCAGGTATGTTTAAGTGTTGCGGGGGAATGGTTAACACCCATGTGTCAGCTATGTTTAAGTGTCGCGGGGAATGGTTAACACCCATGTGTCAGCTATGTTTAAGTGTTGCGGGGAATGGTTAACACCCATGTGTCAGGTATGTTTAAGTGTTGCGGGGAATGGTTAACACCCATGTGTCAGGTGATTAGGGAATGCTTAACACCCATGTGTCAGGTATGTTTTAATGGTGCTTAGGTATAGCTTTATTATGTCATATGACCTGAAGGGTCAGGATGACCTGTAGCCATCCCATTTCCTCTGTCATCGTGCCGAAATGATCCTAAGAAGCTCTCCAAAGTGTCCTTATTTTCTATGTTGGCATGAAATCCATTATGGTCGCCAATCTGATAAACATGTTCTAAAAATTCTCCATTCTATTGGTGCCATAGAGCTGTAATTTTGTAGGAATTTAATGTTGAGAAACTAAAATGAAATGTGTTTATTAATTTTACTGCTAAATTATCTGTAAATGTTCCTACAACTATTATATATAGGTCTTTATAGATAGCTGACTGTCTCTATAGTAAAAAAAACATGCCGTCTATGTCAAATTCATCAGAGTATTTTCACTTATTTTTCAGAAATATGG